CGGATCCGACCCGCCGCCTCCCCTTCGACTGCGGGGGCGGCGGCCTCGGTTCCCTTCGCCGGCCAACATGAGCGAGCGGCGGGTCGTCCGGACCCAGAATAGCCCCGGAGGGAGTCACAACGGTGGGTGGTGAGGGGACGGAGGGAATCAGGCAGGGGGCTCTTCGCCCGGGAGGAAGTGCCTTGCGCAGCCGCGGGCTTTCGAACCCCCCCCAACTGATTCCGACGTTCTGTTTACTCGGGAGTCAGCTGCTCTGCCCTCAATGGGGCTACTCCCAGGCAAGCCCCCAGGGAGATGATGGCTGCCCTCAAGCCGCTTCCAGTTTAGGGCGACCCTTTGAATGAATGGCCTCCGGCAGCCGTGGAGCACTTTAGAAGAGCCCTGTGGCCTTACAAGGACTCCAGGCCCCATCATCCCCAGCTGCCACAACTGCGGGGATCCGCAGTGAGGACAGTGGTAGTGCAACGGGATCGGGAGAGCACATCTGGAGCGTCCCAGCCTGGAGGCTTGGAAAGGGGGCCCAAACAAAGCTGATTTTTTGGTTTTTATTTTATTTGTTGTGTCGGTTGTTGACAACTCTTTTTATGTTTTCGAGGATTTTTAAATAGCTTTAATTACAGCCTTCTGTTTTCTTCCCTTCCTATCCAATTTGCACTTCATGTTTCTGCTTAGTGTCAATGGCCAACAGTCCAGAAGAGGGGAAAATCGCAGTGGAGGGAAAGATTTACAATTTACCTTCATCCTTGTGTTTCTTCAGAAAGGAAGGCACCTTGGCTGACATCCCCCGGCTTTGAGTTGTGAGTCATAAGTAGAGTAGGCCCATTGAATCAGTGGGGTTTCGTGAGTCCAATTTTCTGTTAGTTCCATTGATTAAATGGGATTCCATTGGTTCTAGTTGTGACTTATTACTTAAGCAACAGGATTTCAGCCACCGAGTCCAAGAAGGTTTACTTTTGAGTCAGTGTCATTTTTTGGGCTGCTGCATCTTGAGATAACATCCTAAGTTTGGCTACCGAATAAAAACAGTTTTGCTGTCAGCAAACCTCTTTTAGGGCTGCCCTGCAGCTTTCCCACTTAAATCTGCTTTGTATTTAATCTGTGTCCTGCAGGTTTAAAGTTCTTTCATCAAGATAACGTCATCGCACAAAACTCTTGAGGGGTGTGGCATGTGTTATTATTAATTTTTGTTTGTAGCATCTTAAGGTGGACCTACAAACTGAAAGTATGTCCCAGATCCATAAACGGCTCCTAAAATTATGTCTTTATGTTTTGATATGACTGATTTGATAGGTCCCTACTGAATTGCACAATACTGCCTAGAGTGGTCGAAATGACCAGATAGGAGGAGTATAAATAGAATGAATGAATGGATGGAATGAATGAATGGGATGAATGAATGAATGAATGAATGAATGGAATGAATGAATGGAAGGAAGGAAGGAAGGAAGGAATAAACAAACAAACAAACAAACAAACAAACAAAAAACAAATAAACAAATAAATAAATACTCTACATGTCCACCATTATCAGTTGTTCCACAAAACATGTTTAAAACTATGTTCTAATTTTTAAAATTAATTGCCGGTATTATAAAAGGAAAAAGAAGGCTGAACAAAGGATTGATTGACTCATTATAGGAATCCACAGTTTTCAGTTTGTAAAACTTGAACTGCAAATGTGGAGTGCATTGATTCAAAGAGAAATGACTTGACAGCATGTGACAATAGCAATAATGGTATTCATTTATTGTACTGAAGTAGCCCTTTGAAAAGGAAAAGAATAGGACAGTGTCTCTTGGGAGTTAAAATTAGAGCCTGATCTAAGCATGCTGTCATTGTAAGAAGAGTCCTGCTAATTCAGGTCTGTCAAACTTGTTAACTTGCTTCCACTTATGAACAACTAAATGCAACTAAAAAGTCTAAACCTAAAATTCCAGATTATATTTGTTAACTTTATTTTTTTCTCTCTCTCTCTCTTTTAAATAGAGGTTTTTCTCCTTGACTCTCAGGATGTCTCACCAACAGTTGCCTTTCTGCAAGAATTGCCCAGTTTCCAGTCAATGCTGAGGAGGAAAACATCAGCTGGAGGATCACGGGACTACCATAGTTTAGCACGGTCAATTTCTGGAGACACCAGGCATTTCCTAGATGGGGACGGATCCGGCTCTGTGCAACCGCTGAGAGAATATGCATTGCCTATTGCAGAGAAGAGACGTTTAAGGTTTGAATGGAAATCACTGTGTATCATTTAGTAGTACTGGGGTCAGTTTGTGGTTAAAAATTCTTCCCTGTGTTCACATTCTCCACTTCTCAATGCATTTCCAATTATTTTTCATTAAATCTCTCACTCATCACAACTAATGTGGTGTTCCAAGAAAAGGAAAATGCAGGTTAGAATGAGCATGTATGAATATACTCTGCAACACGTGGTTGCTGCTTCCATTGTAGAGGTTTAGTTGACAGATAGCAGTGATCGATTGCTTTTTAATAGAACCGTTTTTTTTTTACCTTACTAGGGACATCCAGGAAGCCAACATAAAATACCTCTCAATTTGGCAGCAGTGGAGGCAGACAAGTCGGAAATCACTGAGAAAAATTATAAAGGATACCAAAGAACTGTCTTCCTATCTGGAACTTTGGAGACATGATATCCACAGTGTTGAAGGTATTGTTTTTCTCCTTATTTGCAGGATTTGACCCTCCATGAGGCAGAGCCAGCCCTCTCAGCAGATCCTGTGAGAGGGGAGCAGCAGTAGGAGTTCCCACCTGTCCCTCCTGAGCCCCTCTCCCTTGCCATTCTTCTCTCTTGCAAGATAGAGCTGTGTGTGTGTGTGTCCCATAGCCATCCTGTACCTCTTACACTAGCCTGCTGTCTTCAAATATGGTGAAGGGTATTAGAGTCAAAAGGCTTTGTGAAATGGAAAATAGCAGCACCTTGTCCTTTGCCAACAGGCAGGAAGACATCTCAGGCTGGCTCTGCTCTTTTGGAAGGTTTGTTCATGTGCTGCCCATTCTGGGCAGGGGCTGGGAAATTTATTTTCACAAGTTCTTATTCTTTGTACATGGGTGTGTTCTGCAAACATATTTTTGGCTGTCCAAGAAACCAAATTTGTAGGGATGCTTGGCTAGTTCTCCTCTGAGGCTGAAACTGAAGTGTGGCAAGGTGTCATGTGGAAAGCAGTTAAAATGCAGGTCAGGAGAACTGCCTGCCACACTAGTAGCCTGTTTACCTTGGAATATTTGCCTTGACGCCATCACGAAACTGTTTTTCATGGTGGAAGTGAATCTTGCAGAGGTTGCAGTTCATCTCACACCAACATATTCTCTTCTAATCTGAACAGCAAGGCTGGGCGTGAGGCAATTGGAGTTGAATCTCTCTCCTTTTATTTGGCTCCAAAGAATTGGGCCGCAGAAGTATAACATTCAAATCTATAGCCACTGAGGGAAGAGGGTGGGTGTCGGCAGCACCCGAAGGTGTGTCCGACCCTTCTGCTTATAGCAAGTTCAAGGGTCTTCTTTGAGCTAGAGATGGGGGTAGTCGTATAGGAATACGAATATCCTGCCACAGCTGGGGATTACAAGGGTCTGGCCCCACGGGGCCAGGCTGCCCACTCACAATTCCGCCACTGACATGAGCTCAACGGAGCCTTCCTATCGCTCTGTTGTCCGCAATGGCAATTTTTAGAGTATATATCTTAATTGTATTTTAATTGTTTTATATTTTTACTGTATTTTAATTGTTGTAAGCTATCCAGAGACATTTAGGTAGTGTGGGCGGCATATAAGGTAAATAAATAAATATATGGATTAGCCAGTCCTGGTAGAAGGCGGGATGACAAGTGATGACAAGGGATCTCCACCTGTGGGGGGGGGCTGTATTCGTAGAGGAATATCCCCATCTCTACTTTGAGTTCAAGAGCAGAATTCAATTAAAGACGTTTTAAGGGGATGTGGAAGATTGACGTAGTGGCGCTGCAGGTTAAACCACAGAAACCTCTGTGCTGCAGGGTCAGAAGATCAGCCGTCATAAGATCGAATCCACGCGACGGAGTGAGCACCCGTCGCTTGTCCCAGCTTCTGCCAACCTAGCAGTTTGAAAGCATGCAAATGCAAGTAGATAAATAGGTACCACCTCGGTGGGAAGGTAACAGCGTTCCATGTCTAGTCGCACTGGCCATGTGACCACGGAAACTGTCTTCGGACAAACGCTGGCTCTACGGTTTGGAAAAGGGGATGAGCATCGCCTCCTAGAGTCTGACACGACTGGACAAAAATTGTCAAGGGGAACCTTTACCACCTAAGGGGATGTGGAAGAACAAATAGTGAGACCAGGAATGGCAACATTTTCTTACTGGACAGTCTTACTGCCTGTAAGTAAGCCTTGGGAGAGGCGTTCCTGCATTTTTAGAATGGGAAAAAAACTGTCCAAAAGCTGGGAAGCTGCTGCGGAAGGGAAGAGGGCACGTCCAGTTGGGCAAGCCAGTCTGGCCGTGCAGGAGAGACCGATTCCGCCCCAGGGCTTGACGTTTCCTTACTGGTGATTTACAGACCTCTTAATACTTCTTGGGCCTGGAGCGAAAGCCCAAAAGGGAGAATGCAACTCATCCTCGTCCTGAGACCCAAAATGAGTCTATTCCTTTTTTGTCCCATTTTTCTAAATGTTTCCCTCTTTTACTTAACTATTTCTGTGCTGCCTTCCTGCGTAAATGCTCAGCTCTCTTTACTGTAACATTTGCACAACACCTTCAAAAATCTGACTATAAAATCATGGCCCAAACCAGTCGCAACCGGTTTAATGAAACATTTCAAAGCGGAACCTGAGGAGTAAAATAGGCAATACCTGGCACTTAAGAGGCAAAAGTCAGTGGGTATCAACTATCTGTGGGATACATCCCAAAGGGAGGACATCGCCACGAAAAAGTCCATCTATATCTCTTCGCCTCCTCACTTTCAAGGTGACTTTTCCAGAGCACCTTACATTAAAAGGCCCCATTATTTTGGTTTTTATATTGTCAGTTAATGTGTTCCTTGATAAATGGAATCTCCTGTTTTCTTTCCACAGGGAAATTTGGCACTGGGATCCAGTCCTACTTCTCCTTCCTTCGATTCCTCGTAATGCTGAACTTTGTGATCTTTCTCCTTGTCTTCGGCTTTATCACCCTTCCAAGCATTGTGTTCAGGCATGGAGTTGTGAATGGCAGCTATGTTAAAGTGCCTCTGGAAAAAATAGGTACAGTAGTTGCTTTCCCCTTCTAGCACAACCGGAATGATTCTTGCAGAAGTATTTCAAAGCACCTAGGAAGAGCCCTCCTTTTTGTCCACAAATGCAGCTCCTAGGAATTCCACTGAATTGGTGCATTCAGTGATTGGTGCATTTTCCACATGTTAAGTCAAACAATCGGTAATGGTTACCCTATGTGCTTTGTAACAGCCACTGAGCTAAGTAGTAATTTCATAACTTGCTTTTTCCACACCCAATATTTGAGATGTATCTTCATGATTTCAAGGCTACCAGTTCTGCATAATACTGCAATGCCATATCTGCAGAAATACAATGTAGAGCTGATGAGCAGTGCATGTAGTTCTTATAATTCCTATTGTTTTTAGTTATTGCTCTATTCCAATCTGTTATCCACAGAGCCGCACTGCACAGTTTATCAAGTCACTGGTACCAAAGGACTTACTTACTTTTATAGTTATCTTATCGATCTCCTGTCTGGCACAGTAAGTAACTGAACATCTATTTTGCAATCTAAAAAAGCATGTTAAAAGTAACAAAAGATAGGATTTCATAGAATGAAACATGTCTTTGGATGGCATGCATGATTTAATTCTTTGTCTTGAACATGTTTAGGATCCTTCCAGTTTATGTTAATTTACAGCAGGGACAGGCAACTGTAACTCCCATGCTACCTCCCCATTGGCTGTGTTGGCTAATGCTGGCAAAAGATGCAGTCTAGCAACATCTGGAAGGTCTAATCTTGCCCACCCCTGAATTAATCAGTTAAAAGATTTCTTAATATGCCCAGAGGCATTATTTTGTTTTGCCGGAGTTCAGCACCAGTGGGTGACTTTTTAACTTTCATACCAGCTGTGTTTGTTCTGGCAGAGTCTTTCAAGCATGACTGTTTCCCATTGGTCTGTGTGTAGTAACTTGATCTTCCTTTGTGCTTGCAGGGTTTTCTTGAGAAGACAAGTCTTTTCTATGGCTACTACACAGTTGATACCATACATCTTGGCCACCTGAAATACCAAGTGCCACTTGCTTATTTGCTGACCACACTGGCTTACCTTTCACTGAGCTTTGTCTGGATTGTCAAGAGGTAAAGCTAGATTGAAATGTCAGGGCTTGGAAACTTGTGCAGGTTTTTTGGACTGTAACTGCCAAAATCCCCTAGCCAGCCTAGCCATGGCTGGAGGTTTTTGGGACTTGTTATTCGAAAAGCAACTTTTCCAAGGTCAAGTCCTTTGTCATTAGGATTTTGCTTGCAATTTTTATGACTTTCATCTTGAGATAAGAAGTTAACAAAAAGTACTTATAATACCGTTGATTCTGAGATAGCTTTGGTCGTGTGATACAGTACGTTTCTGCTTTCTGACAGATACAACTTGCAGGATCTGAAACAAGTCATGTTTAGTTTTCCTTACGGTGCAAGGAGAAGAGTTGCCCAAGTCCTTTATCAACCCACACAAAATTCTACCCATTATGTAGAATTTTGAGGATGAATGTTACAGTATTGCTACGAAGTGAAACACTTAATTTGGTGCTGGCCTGAACATAGTGCATTCCTGTTTATCTATCTAAAATACTTGTATACAACATCTCCCTGGAATATCGGCCAGGGTCACCCTGGATTTGAACACAGAGAGCTATACATACCTTTTTACTCAAACAAATTGAGATGAAGAACTGTGCCCCACTCCCCAATTGCTGGATTGCATCTCCTGTTATGACTTTCCATTGGCTTTGTCCATTGAAAGTTGGTGCAGAATTGTACTGCTACAGGTGGGGTATACCATATTTGAATTCTTTCCCATCATAAAACCAGAAACAGCCTTGCTCAGTAGACTTTTCTACCTACTGTACATCCTTGTTATTATGCACAAGGAGAGTATTTCAAAGCTACTGTAACTCATCCACTAAATTAATGGCTGAAGTCTTGTTCTGTAAGTAATGCTGTATAAATCTCACTTACAGCTTTTTAAAAAAAATATAAACCATTTCCATTCCTTCCCTGAAAGTCTTGAAGCTCCCATGGAATCTGTTTCATCATTAAAAAGCTGTTGGTGGCAGGATGAATAAAAGTAAATGCTTTTTAAAAAAAAAATCAGATTGATTTAAATCATGAATTAAATTTTAACAATGATTTTTTTATTTCAATAGTCAAAAACTCTGATTTTTTTTAAATTGTGATTTAAATTATTATCTATTTGATTTAAATTGCATCCACCCTGGTTTGGGACCACAGGACAAGATAGAATTCTTTAATTACAGAAGATAACTGTAGCCAGTGGAATGATTTTACCGTTGGAGGTTTCAAGCAAAGACCTCCCTCCCTCCTGTATCCCCCAATGGCTTCCTAATCACGCACGCACATACACATACACATACATACACACCTACCTCAGGGACCTTCTGGGATATGTGTGTGTGCTGTAAATGTCTTATTTCCCAAAAAAATTGCTGCGGCTAGTGATGTTATCAGACTTACATGGCATAACTTGTGAGATTCACGGTTCAGTAAGGACTTGAAGCTGGATCTCCAACATGCTAAGCTTGCTGCAGCTAGTGATGTCATCAGACTTACATGGCATAACTTCTGCAACTGGATTGCTGCCAGTGGAGTCAACATTACCACCAGCGTCACCCTTTACATTCCAACTTTCCTCCAGTATTCATGGTTTTCTTCTTTATCCTCCCAACAGCCTTAGGGCTGAGAGAGAGTTACTAGCCCAAGACTAGCCCAGTGAGATTCACGGTTCAGTAAGGACTTGAAGCTGGATCTCCAACATGCTAAGCACTGTACTATACTATTGACTGTTGGGGCTTTTGGCTTGGAGGCTGTGATCCTGTGCATGTTTACTTTGCAAGACGTCCCAAGAAATTCTGCAACTGGATTGCTGCCAGTGGAGTCAACATTACCACCAGCGTCACCCTTTACATTCCAACTTTCCTCCAGTATTCATGGTTTTCTTCTTTATCCTCCCAACAGCCTTAGGGCTGAGAGAGAGTTACTAGCCCAAGACTAGCCCAGTGAGATTCACGGTTCAGTAAGGACTTGAAGCTGGATCTCCAGCATGCTAAGCACTGTACTATGCTATTGACTGTTGGGGCTTGTGGCTTTTAAAGTTTGGTTTACTGTACTATACTATTGACTGTTGGGGCTTTTGGCTTGGAGGCTGTGATCCTGTGCATGTTTACTTTGCAAGACGTCCCAAGAAATTTAGCTGGACTTATTTCTGAACACACATGTACAGCATCTGGCAATAAGGGGATATGCCATTCCACCTACTTATACAAAAATGAAAACAAATTGTTAGTTACGTATTTAATTTCATTAAAACTTTGGTGTCTTCACTAGAGCTGTCGAAGGCTTTAAGCAAAGCTTGGTGGGCAGTGAAGATAAGTTTCAGAGCTACTGCAACAAAATATTTGCCGGCTGGGATTTCTGTGTTATGGATATAAATGCTGCACGGCTGAAACACTGCAGTTTACAGTATGAACTTAAAGTGAGTATATACATCTATTCCTCTTTGTAATGTGCTAAACCATACAGTAAATTAAAATTCTAAGGAATCAACATTGCAAATGTGTATAAAAGGAAACAAAGTAAATTAAAATAAACAGTGTTTTGGGCAAATCGTGGTAGCAGATAGAAGCTGGAGGAATGATGTGATTGTTGCAGCATTCGCATGTGGTCACGTGTCGTTTCCTGCAAAAAATCATCTCCCATTTCCCTTGCGTTCCCTCTTTGTCCTTGGACAAAACCTTATCTCCTACCCAATCTCTTCCCAGCAACATTTCTCTCGATAGAAATGTGTGTAGATAAGCCTCCGGATCATCGCTAGCACTCATCTTTTGTATCCTTATTGGGGCCGGTCCAGCTACCAACCCATTCTTTATCCACACATTACTCTGGGGGTTCTTTCCATCTTCCATACTCATTTTCAACATTTGCCTTGTCACTAACATTTGCTGCTCTGTCAGGCTCTCTATCATTCTTTCTTGTCTCTCTATGATTCTTCTCATTCTCATCATCTCTTCCTCGCCTTCCCATTGGCCCACCCCACGTTGGGCGCCACTGTGTTTGGGTTCCTTTTGTAAGGTAGGCGGGCCCAGGGATTCGTCGGGAATGACAGCCGGAGTCGAAGTAACCGTCAAAAAAGGATTCGTTTTATTAACATTACTATTAAACAATTCTGAACCAAACGGGTTCGTCTTCTCTTCATTGTCAAACAAGTTCTTAGTATGTGGAGTTTTTTTGTTAGCTTTTTTCCCTCTCTAGTATTTTTCTGATTTTTTTTGGTTATGCTATGTGACTGAGAGCTTGTCTTAATTTAGGTAGGGAGACATCCTGGCACCTGGTGAATTTATCAGATGCCCTGTTTTTGACATTTCCACCTTAATGGGGACGGGGCCTTCTTGTTGATATAGGCTACCTCCCGATATCTTTGTGTTGCAATACCTGTAACAAACTGCACTACATTGCTTATGGTCTAGTTCCTTTTTGAACACGTTGTCTGTATCATTCTCCAGTTTTTAAAAAGTGCTGATTCAGTGGCCATGTTTTAGGAAAGTTGCCAGGGAGCAGAATATGTTAGATAAGATTTACGTAATTCCCTGAACAAACTCTACAGCATATTTTACAGGCAGGGTGAGGACACAGTGTCAGAGGGAGTACCAGGAGAGCTTTTACAGTTTTGCATCCAGGGCTGCTTGGAAGCTCAGTTCAGGTTTATATGTGTTTTGTCTCAAGATTTTTCTCAAACCCTATAAGAATACCAGAGAGGCTATAACTAAGCGTCCCCCCACCAAAGGTGTGAGACTCCATGTCCTAATCTTCACAGGCCGCAATGGGTATGCCGGCTGGGGTGATGGGATTGCTGGTGAAATGCACCTGATCTCAAGTTCCAATCCTCCCTCTTCTCTCTCTCCTCTTTTATGTAGTCATCCCATCTCCAAGTTCCTGACTCCGTCAGATGCTTTGTATGTAATATTATCCACAATATAGACTTCTTTGGGGGAATGGGGGTATGCCCGATATATTCTTAAATCAATGCATTATGTTCTGTTTCTGCAGACTGATTTGGAGGAAGAAAGGCTGAGGCAGAAAGTCGCAGAGAGAACCACCAAAGAGAAAATACGCATCTATTGCTTGAGAATTTTCTTAAATGCCACCGTCATTGCCATTTTGTCAGCTTGCTTTTGTTCCATCTACAGAGGGAATGGGGGTATGCCCGATATATTCTTAAATCAATGCATTATGTTCTGTTTCTGCAGACTGATTTGGAGGAAGAAAGGCTGAGGCAGAAAGTCGCAGAGAGAACCACCAAAGAGAAAATACGCATCTATTGCTTGAGAATTTTCTTAAATGCCACCGTCATTGCCATTTTGTCAGCTTGCTTTTGTTCCATCTACAGAGCAACTGTTTATTCACAAGAAAACATTTCCAATGTAAGCGGCAAGCAGTTTTTGCTTATGGTGCGAGAGTCCACGTTTTGTCCAGTGAGCTCAAAGCACTGTTATCTAGTTTTCTCCCTGCTCTAAGTGACTCTTCACCACACTTCTGGGGGGGCGAAGAGGAGGGTCTGGCCCAAGATCATCTAGTAAGCTTGATATTCCGGCAGGAATGAGCCTGATGTGCTCCAAATGTTTTGGACAACCCCTTTGGAGTCCCTGGCCTTTGGCTGTGGGAGTTGAGATGGGAGGAGATGGGGTCACAAAGGTCCATGAAAGTTTTAGATTGTGGGAAAGCTCTTCTAATCACTACACCATGCCAGTTTACAGACTGCTTCATGCAGCCCACTGAAGTAACCCTTTTACCTGCCATACCTAGTATTTTTAACTGCCACCAGTTTGTTGTAAATGTGTTTGAAAAAGGAGAGTGATTCTTCTTCCTTCCCCCCCCTTTTTTTTTAGGGGAAAAGAGAGTTTAAATACCCTAAATAAATGTTAGCCGCCCAGAGTGGTAGAATATACCAGATGGGCGGGATATAAGTCGAACAAATAAATTAAAATAAAATAAAAATTAAAGGTAGCCAGTAATTTCATTAAAATACCGTATTTTTCCATTTATAAGACTATACTTTTGTCTAAAATCTTTAGACTAAAAATTGGGGGTCATCTTATACACTGAAGTAAGCTGCGGAGAGAACAAAAACAAGTGGAAGGGAAATCGGGGATCAAAGCACTTTTATCCCTTTCCCCCTACACTTGCTAAGCCCCAGTTAGATTTCTTAATTTTGGGTTAGAAAAGGGGGGGTGTCTTATACATGGAAAAATATGGTATGTTTTTGGAATGCTTAATACGGGAAGGCTTTCAGCAGTAAAGTAGCCGAGGGGAAGAATAAAGAGTACAGAAAGGAGCAGTTTAGGAGATGGACACCTTCTCGCGCAGGCAAAAGATGGAGAGTTTGGAAGATAGATCCACATGGCTGTAGTAAAACGTAGAGATGCATCACTATTCAATGAGAGCAGAGATGGATAACTTATGTGGTTTGTGGAGGAGGGTCAGTTCCTCCTACCAGCTGCTGTTGCCCCTTTGCCAAAATTCAGCATTAAATCTGGAAGTTTTAAAAGACATGTAGAGGTTTATCAGTACATCTGCATAGCACCGATTGCAATGATGGGAGCCCCAAAACCAGCCTATAGAGATCCCTTGGATGGATTACACCTGAGCTATTGCCACCTTTCTGAGCAAGGGTTCCCTCATAAGTTTTTTTGCTTACATTTCCAATCAGCTCCAATCATCATGGGCAATGAACCCCACATGATGGAGGTTGTAATTAGAAATGCCTGTAAGAACCCAGGTTGTAGAAAGCTGAGCAGCCCGGCAGAGAAGTACCTGGAAAGAACAGGAATTAAGAGACCTCTCTGTTCTACTGGGAAAGAATCAACCTGGACATTTGTAATAACATCTCTAAGCTCAAGGCGGGCAAAAGGAAGAATTCTCAACTAAATTGAGAGAGAAGGAAAGAATTATTATCTCTGTCTCGTATGTGCAGGACAACAAAGCCAGATTTGAAGATAACCTCTTGGTGCAGTATTTGCCTTCTATGGTGATCACAATGGCCAACTTTATTGCTCCCTTGTTTTTTTCACTGATCATTAAATTTGAAGACTATTCACCAGCCTTTGAAATCCGGTTAACACTGATGAGGTAAGAACCCTATCTTTCACTGTAGGTCTGTTGATTCTCTGATCGGATATGAAAGCAAGGGTTTCTCTGCTTTGGTGCACCACTGCTCCTTTGTTGTTTGTTGTTATTTTAATGGTGCTCTTGGATCTGTTTCGTCCCTGGCCAGTTCAGGCACACATTTCCCGCTGCTGCTTTAAAGCTTTGTATGCAGAGCAGTCAATCTCAGTTGGCTTCTTCCCCATATCTTTTTCGATGGAAAACTCTCAGGTGGTGTACTTTATCTATCTCACAGATGTCGCTTCCCTTCTGTAATCTTCTCTTTGTATTCCAAAATGCTCACAGTATCTAAATTATGCTGTTCATTAGTGTTTCTCCCCAATATTTCCATTTTCAAGGTGTGTCTTTATGCGCTTGGCCAACATTGGCGTTCTCTTGTTCTCACTGTGGACTCGGATCAAGTCCTGCGCAGATGAAAAGTGCAAGGCCTGTGGATACAACTACAAGCTGTATCCTGTAAGTAATGTAAACCTGAAATCGTTTCTGGGTTACTCAGAACATCCCTGGAAAAATTCAACAGCTGTTGCAAGGGCTACCTCCCAAATGAGCGAGATGCTTTATAGACTGATGTTCTGTAGTTTGGCCTGATCCTGCTGTTAGTGAGGTAATCTCCTTGTGTAGCAAATGCTGAGAGGAGTGGAGGTGTTTCTCCAGCTCCCCATTAGTCTTCTACTTGACAAATTTATGAAGGAAAATAGAACTAACAGTATCTGTTCATGGCTTTTGTACATGAATTGAGGAGTGACACCCTCTTCATCACAGGCGGCAAAGCATCTTAGGTGAATCACATGCATTCACTCTTAAGAACTCAGTAAATAATAATTGTGTACCTGCAAGTCATTTCTGGCTTATGGTGACCCCTTTCAGGTTTTTCTAGGTGGAGAAAATTCAGCAGTGGTTTACCCTTCCCTTTTTCTGGGGGCGGAGAAAAGTCAGCAGTGGTTTACACTTCCCTTCCTCTAGGGGGCACCCAAGGACTGTGCAGCTTGCCCCAGGCCACCCAGGCTGGCTTTACTCCCAGGAGGCACCGTGGGGAATTGAACCCCCAACCCCTGGCTCATTATCCAGATAAGAACGCTGTAGGTGTTGTAAATTCTTTTTTGCAGAGTGAGGTGGAAGAGCGTGCTAATTTTGTGAATCCATTGTCAGGCTAAACTAGAGTCAGTGAAATCAGCGGAACAAATAAGTGTTCATTAGCACATCCAATTCATTTGAACAAGTGTACCCTAATTGGAAAGAACATTGGATTTAGCCCTTGCTTGTTGGATTTGCTTTTCTCTTCCAGAGAAAAGCAAAACTTTATTTCCTAAGTGCCTGGATTTATCTTGATAGTCTTGTTGTCTTTTCTTCCAGTGTTGGGAATCTCGAGTTGGTCAGGAAATGTATAAGCTGATGATTTTTGACTTCATCATAATTTTTGCTATCACTGTCTTTCTTGACTTTCCTAGAAAGTGAGTATAACATTCAGAGTCACTTCCTTTGTTTTTGAGATGAAACTGACTTTGAGACCGAAAGTACCTGTTTTCAGGTTTAAATTAAACACGTGCTCTCCGTGATATCCAAATTGGCGTGTGTAAAGCTATTGTTAGTAAGAGCGGTTCAGAATGAAACTGTGACTTTACTCTTAGAGTGTAGGGTCAGCAAACCACACTCAGTCAGCTTTTAGTATAGCAAGGAGAACTATGGAGAGGTACCAGCTGCTAGAAGCATGAAGAGCATAGCATAAAGGACCCTTGACCCAACCTGTTGTATGCTGTGCATCTTGTCGTCTGCCATACTGAAAGAGAAAGGCTCAGGACAGGAAGAGAAGAGGCAGAGTGTGGATAAGAGACAGGGAAGAGAATCTGACTCACAGATTGCCACTCAGAGAGACCTGTCTCCCCCTCCGGGTCTCCTGATAATACCCTAAAACAAGAGGCTAGTTATTAATATTACCTAATCCAGAACTCCCCAGATGTGTTAGATTTCCATTCTCATCCTCCACAGTCAACATGGGCTGTTGACTAGGAACAATGGGAGCTATAGTCCAGCCCACTGCATTTGGACTGCTCAATGCACTTCAAAATGTTCTTCTGTTCCTAAGAATTTGTTTCTCTAAATGAAAGGATTCCTTTAATATTGTTGCTGGACTTTAAAGCAGAGCCTTTTCCTCTTCTTCTTAGGTTGATGGTTACCCATTGCTCATTTAAGGCCTTCCGTTGGTGTGGACTGCAGGAGTTTGCCATCCCTGATAATGTGCTGGAAATTGTTTATGGGCAAACCATTTGCTGGATTGGAACTTTCTATTGTCCGCTTCTCCCTGTGATTGCAACAATAAAGTATTTCCTTGTCTTTTACATTAAAAAGGTATGCGACCTTTGTGCTTTACATTGTCTGGGTGTTATCAGTAACAGAGGTTTTAATAAAAGTCCTTTCGGTCTGTACTTAATTGATAAAAACTTAACTCCCTAATGCAAGGAATCATTTAGGGAAGAGGTGCACCTTGTTTTTTCTTTATTTCTTCCAGTTCTGTCTTTGTACTTCTTTGAAATGTTCTGGTGAGTCCTACATACTGAAATTTAATAGTCACAATCACATAGAATGACAACCTCATACAATCAGAAGTGCCAGAATACACACAAGCTCTTGTAGGTTCCAGTGGAGTGATGTCACCAATAAAAACACTTGCAAAGTCAGGAGGAAAGTATTTGTGATTCTCTTTTTAAGAGAGTTTTATGAATGGCAGAAGGATCTAAGAGCCTTTTCCAGAATTGTTAAATTTTCTAGAAGTTTGCACATACTGGAGTGATGTTCTAGAGCAAATCATTAAACAGTTTGTTATTACTTAGAAATCAATGCTATCATCACTAAAAGTCGACACGGGTTTCTCAAAAACAAGTCATGCCGGACTAATTCTGATCTCTCTTTTTTTGATAGAGTTACAGGCTTGATAGATCAGTGGTTCTTAACCTTTGTTACTCAGGTGTTTTTGAACTGCAACTCCCAGAAACCCCAGCCAGCACAGCTGATGGTGAAGGCTTCTGGGAGTTGCTGTCCAAAAACACCTGAGTAACCCAAGGTTAAGAACCAGTGTGATAGATGAAGGGAACGCTGTGGATATAGCATATCTTGATTTCAGTAAGGCCTTTGACAAAGTTCCTCGTGATGTTCTTGCAAGGAAGCTAGTAAAATGTGGGCTGGACAGTGCTACTGTTCAGTGGATTTGTACATCCTGGAGAGAGGTATCTAGTGGGGTGCCTCAGGGTTCTGTTCTGGGCCCTGTGCTATTCAACATCTTTATCAGTGACTTGGATGAAGGAATAGAGAGTATAGTGATTAAATTCGCAGATGATACCAAATTGGGAGGGGTTGTTAATTCCCCAGAGGACAGGATTAAAATTCAAAATAACCTTGACAGATTAGAATTTTGGGCCAAACTAATAAAATGAATATCGACAGGGAGAAATGTAAGGTCCTACACCTAGGCAGAAAAAATGAACTGCACAGATATAGGATGGAAGACACCTGGCTAGACAGCAGTACCTGTGAAAGGGATCTAGGAGTCTTGGTAGACCCCAAACTGAACATGAGCCAGGAGTGTGATGCGGCTGCCAAGAAAGCCAATGCAATTCTTGGTTGCATCAATAGGAGTATAGTGTCTAGACCAAGGGAAGTGATAGTACTACTCTATTCTGCTTTGGTCACATCTTACCTGGAGTATTGTGTTCAGTTCTGGGCACCTCAATTCAAGAAGGCTGTTGATAACCTGGAACATGTTCAGAGGAGAGTGACCAAAATGGTCAAAGGTCTAGAAAACCATGTTCTGTGAGGAGTGGCTTATGGAGCTGGGAATGTTTAGCCTTACAAAAAGAAGGTTAAGAGGGGACTTGGTCGCCATGTTTAAATATTTGAAGGGAGTTCATGTCAAGGAAGGGACAGGTTTGTTTTCCACGGCTCCAGACAGTAGGACAAGGAGCAATGGTTTCAAACTATAGGAAAAGAGATTCCACCTGAATCTCAGGAAGAACTTCCTGACAATCAGAGCTGGTCGGCAGTGGAAGAGGCTGCCTCGGAGGGTGTTGGATTTTCCTTCTTTGGAAGTTTTAAAGCCGAGGCTGGATGGCCATCTGTCTGGAGGCCTTTGATGGAGTTCCTGCATGGCAGGGGCGTTGGACTCGATGGCCCCTGGGGTCTCTTCCAACCCTATGATTCTGATTCTAAGTTCTCCAGGTTGGCCTCCTCCAGATGTCTTGGGACCTCTTGGGAAGCGCAGAGGACCGGATTCAGCCTCAAGGCCTGAGTTTCTCCATTCTTGGATTACAGGGACTGGGGAGGGGAATAATAAGGAGCCATTCTCTTTCTTAACAAGCCGTCTCTCCAACGTTTATCTCACTTCATTTCAGCTGTCCTCTTTTCTTCTTTCCAGATAAGTCTGATGCATACGTGTAAGCCTTCAGCCCGTCCCTTCAGGGCCTCCAGCTCCAACTTTTTCTTCCTGGCTGTGCTTTTGATTGGCCTGATCCTAGCTTTCATCCCAGTGGGACTCAGCATGACACAGTAAGTTGCTCGTTTTGTAATCGTGCCATTTTTACTGTGAAACAGTGAATGATACCAGAAAGTGCTGCTGTATGCTAAGTGGTGGCCTGCCTTACACCCAGGGTGGGCCAAGTATGACCCTCCAGATGTTGCTGGTCTGCGACTCCCAACTTTCTTCAACAGCAGGTATGCTGACTAGGGCTGATGGGAGTTGTAGTCCAACAGTATCTGGAAGACTGCAAATTTGCTTAAGGGGTAGAGGTTTTGTCTTAAAAGCTGCCACTAGATGCAGTGGAGAATGCTATCCGACTGTCCGCCAGGAAAAGATTCATCTGCCAGAACACTTTGCTTTTGTCCGATGCAATGGGATGAACACCTTGTTCTTTCCCATCACCAACAAAATGTTTTAAGGCGGTCCTGCTTTAGTCTTACTTAGTTTCACTGAAAGTATTTACTTTCCACCCCAGATCTAATCCAAACTTCCAGAGTTGTACAAGTAAATGTTTCCTTAAGGAGGAAGTAGGTTGTAAGAATTACATTTTGCTTTGGAACTTTAGCTCTATCATTTATTTTTTAGGCTGTTACTGCTACTTTTTTATTTCAGTGTGCTTAAGAGACAAGCCTAAAGGACATCATAGAAATGTGTTCATTTTTTAGTTTAAAATCACAACAAAAATAATGTTTTTGAAAGACAAGAGGTCAAAAGCCTGGGAATATGAAAATGTCTTTGCCCAAAGAGATCATCAAAGGGACCAGTTTAGCCTTCCTAAAGTAAAAGTTCCACAGGCAGATAGTACCTCCACTGATAAAGCTCTTCCATGCTTTGTGGCTCATTTAATCTTAGGAGGTGAGAACAATACTGAGTCTGCCTCCATCTGATGCAACACCCACCCACCCCCGATTATGTTTTGGACGACATCTCCATTACCCCTATTCTAGGTGGGGATTGGGAGACTCATAACAAGTCTAATCCATCTCAAGGACACCTGTTTTAGCATACGAACAGGTGGTTGCAGGAGAGGTTGGTGTACAAGTAGAGTAACCTCCCTTTTTCTCCTCTCCCCCCACTTAAACAGCATTCCCTCCTCAAAAGCTTGTGGACCTTTTGTAAACTTCCAGCATTCTTGGGATATCCTTTATTACACCGCCGACCAGTTCCCATTCGTGTTGCAGAAGGTCCTGGATGGTGTTGGGTCAGAAGCTTTTGCAGTGCCTTTCTTTATGGTTATCTGGTGAGCGTTGCTTCAGCCTCCTTTGTCTCTTAGTTCATGTTGGCCCGTTGCAGATGACCGCCTTGTTTGAGGTGCTGTTAGCAAGCAACTGTGCTGTCATGTGTCTTGTAAAGAGACCCAGCATGTGGGTGCAGGGAGTGAGAAAGGTTGCTTACCTAAATGTTAAATGTGCCTAGTATTCAGTTGAAGTCATGAGACTTCAGCTGACTGCTGGGCAATCATTAATTAGAAACAATGTTGTAGAATAAGAAATGTCTAAGATGATAACTATAAAGAGCACATCTTGAGTTTGGAGTGTACCAAGGAGACAAGATCCATCGCCCCAGCCAGGTCATGTACATAGAACCCAAAGCTAGCCAAATAATGTTGACATATGAAGCAGAAAATGCCACAAACACCTCTTCCCATCCCTCACAGTCAAAATAACAGCAAAACAACAACAACAATGCTTAAATTCTCTCTTCACTCTCATGTCATCCAGCTGCATCACTCGGTCTAATGATCTGGTTGGCTTTACTGGGTTTAATGGGCTTGTGGCTAGTTTGGTAAAGTTGTTCCTGTGTTCAGTACTTTTCTATGTTTATTTTGAATCCTTACTATGAGACAGATGTTTTCTGGATAGTGTGTTGTGCTTTTGTCCATATTAAGGTGTTCTTTGGTGACTCCCTGTTTTACAGTCTGATTATGTTCTATCTCATTGCCTTGGCTGGAGCACACAAGCGAGTTGTCAGTCAACTCAGAGAACAATTGGTCATGGTAAGTTCTAATCCAGTGACATCATTTTACCATTCCTTCCTCTCCTAATGCTACTAAAATGCAGTTACTCTTAAATCAGAAAATGCAAAAACAGAATTAATTGGCAGGTTTTTGTTCTTTTCTTTTTTGGGTAGGAGGAAATATTTTTCTGAATATTTGAAATTCTTCATTTTGTTCATACTTTCTTATTAACCCTGATGGCTACGAGAAGGTTTGGAGCTGTAAAGCTGAGTTATGGACAAAGCACTAGACTAGACAGTCTTCCTTGTAATCCAGCAAGGTAGAACGATTTACTTGGTGTCAAGCAGAAATTGCAGGCAAGAAATTTGGACTGTGCTAAAGAGTAGCCTGCTGAATAGGTTTTGTTTTTGTGTGCGTTTTTTAAAGAAGAAGATAGAAACTGGTTGGTTGCACTTGGCTATCTGACATTGGCTGAGAGGATTTTAATCAGTTTCCTTGGTGCTTGTGGTTGCTGTTGTGACCAAAACATAATGTGTCAGATCAAGAGCTGCTGTATACAATTTCTGAAAATGTTTGTATACATTTCCTCAGATTCTGAAGCAATGTGCCTCTGATTACTGTGCTCAGTAATTACTCAGATTTTACATAATGAAAGATTCACTTTTGCCAAAATCCTGTTGCTTATAACCTGCACAGTGGAAATGATGTCATTGTCTGCTGCAGACTGCCACTACTGAAAAGATTTTTTTTTCTTGATCTCGGGTTATACACAGCTTGTGGACACTGAGACAAAGATGCATGAGACAAAATTTTAAAAAGTAGTCTTTAATTAAGAGCAATCTGCTGCTGATTATGTCATTCCTGTTGCATGGGTAAAACCCACCCAACAGGATTTCAGCCTTTAGGCTTATATGCTTTGCTCACTGTGTTTTCTTCCCTTCTCTTGACTGCCTTTTAGGAGAGCCGTGACAAACTCTTCCTGATCAGGAAACTGACTGAAGCTCAGAGGCTTCGCTGATATAGTAGATCTTCCAGTCCCTGCTGTCTTCCTAACAGGGTGGATTAAAAAGCAGTGATTTTAAAAAAATCAAATTGATTTAATTCGCAATTTAAATTGAAAGATCATTTTTTTATTTAAAATGTCAACAAATCTTATTTTTAAATCATTTTGATTTAAATCAAATCCATCCTGCTTCTTAACCATTTCTGGAACTACTTCTCCGAGGATCCCAATACAAATTTGCAGTTTCTTGAAACCTGAGAAAATAATTTGGGACCTCATCATTGCAAACTTAATGATGAACAGGCTTCGTTCGCCATAGATGTGGGCCTTGTTACTCAAATTTCATTCATATAATGTGTCCTGTTAATTATTTTTTAACAGACTGTTCCATTTCATTGTTTTAGCTGATATGCATAAATGAGTTGTAGATCAACTTTCAGAATTATTTGTTATGTCAGGCTGTTCCACTTGTCATTAAGCATGCATGTAGTTTTTTTTTTCCCAGGACTTCTGTGGTTTTTGTTTTCATTTCTACAGAACTTAACATTTTTGCAAAAAATCTCTACTATAGTAGGGGTCTTTGTGATTTTATCCTCTATTGTTTACACTGTGAGTCTCTATATTTAAGGGTCTTTAAAAAAAAACAGCACCTTAACTGAAACTGTTATGAACTATCATGTGGGAATTTATGCATATATTTTCTGGGCTAATAAGCTGGCCGTTAAATTATTCTCGCGTGTATCGTACCTCTCTATTCTTCATGGGGACCACCCGTCTGGGCCACATGGGACCAGTATACAACGGAATATTCCTCTTCACTGTGCTTTCTCAGACAGAGCATCTTTGTTAGTCTCTTGTAAGAGAAGATAAAGGAAAGTGCTGCTCTCGTTGTGCCTCCTACTAAATATCTGTAGATACTTACAATTTCTAGATTGAAACAAGTGATTTGGAGTTTGTTACATTTTTACAGTATTTTAGAAGATCTGTTAATCAGATCATTGTTGAATAAGCATTGCTTGGAATTGTCCAGAAATGTGCCCTTTGTGGTTGTAGAGGTGCATTTCAACACCACTAGACAATCACGATTTTCAGCTCATGCTATTTACTGTATTAAAACTGAAGGCAGAGTTTGTCTGATTTTTGGATGTTACTAAACAGACTCCTGCTGTTATGGGGAAGCCTCCATGTTGCTCTGCTCTTCCTATCTAGCTCTAAATTGGTACTGCAGGTGTAGGGTTAACTTTAAAGTGTGAGATGCTATTTTTTCCCTAATGTACTTTAGGATCTTTTTAAAATAAAGCTGTAAAATATTTATTATTTGTAATAAATATATTGCAGGTACTTCATGCGGACCAATTTGATTTTATTTACCTTTGACTGATTTCTTAGTTCTTCCAATATCACCCAAGGACTAAGCCTTAGCATTAACTTTTTAAAAAGCACTTTGTAATCAGAACTAAAATATGAAGCAGATTTGCACAGACAGAGCAGAATCTAAACAAAGTTAAATATTTTAAGTGATTTTGAAGGGCAGGAAAGAATTAACTTAAAAGGTGCGGCATAGCTTTCTGTTTGGGAGATTTCGAGAGACAGAAATACAGCAGATAGTCAACTGTGCAATTTGCTACTGTAAGATGCGGTGAAAGAAACAACTGGAACCTCTTTAAAAGAGAATTAGGCAGATTGGTAGAGGATAAAGGTATTCATGGTTACTAATCACAATGGGTGATGTCCTGCCTGTAGAGATCTTGGTTGGGTAGCATAAGAAGAATCTTGGAAGATCGCCCAAACAGAAGGTCTTTCTAGTCCATCATCCTGCTTTCCATAGTGGCCAGCTAAGTTGTCTACAAGCATGACAATAAAGCAACCAATCTTTAAAGGCATCGTGGCCATAGCATACAGCCATTCTGATTAGTAGCCACTGATACCATCAATCTATCTAATTCCCTTTTAAAGAAATTTCCATTGGTTGTTTCATGAGTATCTTTCTGAAATAGCTTTTAAAAAAAAGCTACATCCCAGAAAATCTCTTGGTATTATGAGTAGAGTTTTGTTTAGGTTAGTTCTTCCCTGTCTTTCATTCTTTATAAGATTATACCCAAGAAAAAAAGCAAAATCAGAAATCTGTATCACAATCTCTGCTATCAATCAGCATAGCACGTGTGCTCTTTATTTTTGTAGTGAGCATAATCTGATAACATTACACATACTTCATTGAAATGTTAAGAGAAAAATCAGGAAAAATGCATTTTAAAATCATACCACTTGTTGATCTGTGAACACAGCAAATACTGGATTAACTTAATGCAAGCTGAGTGCTTACTTAAGAGTTCCCATGCCATTAATCCCCAGAGGAAAATACATGAACCATATGTTTATTGGCCCTATTATTAAATTTTCTATATGTTTCAAGTTTTGCCCTTTGAATTAAAAAGGTTTGGGGAATTGAGAAAAATAAACTATTTGACTAGCACTGATACCCGAATTTTCATAAGCCATGGCTCTTCTCTTCTCCCCAGAAGACCTGTAGAAAATCAAACATCACGTGTCACAACTTAAAGCTTATAAAGGAATTGAGAGCTGCACCTTCTGCCACCAGACACTGAAATAAGTGTGGGCCATAGATCCCTGCAGAAAAACCCCAAGTATTTCCTTTTTCCTTTCTACCTTGTTCTGAAGGATCTCCACCCAGACAAGTAATACTAGAATATTATAAAAGGTAAGTGAGTATAAGGAAGTGAAATAACAGTGTTCTTAGATCTACAGCAGTGAGACAGACATTAAGTTGTGATTTACTTTGCTACTCTTTCACAGCTAGGAATACGTTTTTCATTTCTGCATCCCTCCTCATGTGATCTCTGCCCACGTTGACATGTGTTGCCAATATTTTGGAATATGTTAGAAGAAAATGTGCTAGATTTCTCCTGTTATGCTGTAAGATTTGTGATACTACTTAAGAGCTCCCTGAATCCTCCATCCTAAACAAACACAAAACCCAACGATTCCAGAGTCTCTGAGAAGAGACATGAATACGTGAAGACATTATGGGGGATCCCTTTGTTATGTTATCATAATGTCTTATTTGCAGCTACTATTGTGATAGTGGAAGAATTAAAGCCAGTTTTGTATTCTAGTAGGGTAAAAAGCGGCGCTCTAGATGATAATGGAAGACTCAACTCCCAGCAACCCAGGCCATGGCTAACCATCAGACATGGTAGGAATACAGTCGAACTACATATAAAAGGCCGTAGGTTCCCCTATGTATGTATCTGAGGATTGTTAGAATGTGGGGAGAGCTGAGGAGATCTTGGTTCATCAAACCCTTTCCTCAACCACAAAGCTTTCCCACTAACATCAAGTCAGATAATTCTGGCTAGGATATACCTCACAGGATTTTTGCAAAGACTAAAAGCAGGAACGGTGTACACAGCCCACAGTTCCTGGAAGGAATGGCAAGCAAAAAAAAATGGCACGGGATAAAGGTCTGTGAGCAGGAAATGAAAAGTGATAGAATTATGGGGGGAAAGCTAGTGCAAGCTCTTAATGAGACCCACAAGCCTTATTCTGACACCCAAAGACCTTCCCATGCCATGTCTTTGATGGCACATTTAAAAACAAATAGGGTAGGGAAACCCGCTGTCCTATAAATTGTACCAAAGGTGTGAGAGAGACGATGATCCCTGGTTACAGAAGGATAAATCCTTTGTTATAGTCCTTTTGGCTGAACTACCCCACAGGTGTTGTGGCTAGCTAGAAATACCAGGAGTGGGGAAAAAATTAAAAATCAAGGCAAGTTATTCATCAGCAGTACTTTTTACCTTTGCCTTTCATTGTCATGACCACCTGCTTTTTGCCATGTGGTTTGATTTTTTGGCATCAGATTTTCTGGCTTTAGACGTTGTTCAGGAATGGCTTTGATAGGGAAATCAGCATTTTTATCCATAGCATTTCCATTCTAGGGTAAAAAAAATGGATAGGCACATGTCTAAATCATTTTCTGCCAGAGAAAACATTAAAGTAGACTTAAGTGGTAGATCACAGCACGCCTAGGAGATCTAGTCAAACAAACTAAGAGATGATCCTAATTATAAGACCGTGGATAAAACTTTGTAGAGATGATCTTAATTATAAGACCGTGGATAAAACTTTGTTGAATAACTCACGCCCATCTGTGGACATATTTTATCTAATATGACCCTATGGATCATGGAGTCCAACTCCTCTCAAGGAGGCCTAGTGGGGAATTTCTGCCAGAGGCCTAAGCCACTGAGCTATCCAGCTGTTCAATATGAATGTGCAGTCAAAATTATACCTATTGATTCAGAGGGAAGGCCCATCTCATCATTTTTGCCTGCTTGTCTGCTAAGGAGCAAACAAGCTGCATACACAGTTAACCACCAGTGGGCCAGAGGAAAAGGACAGGTGAATGAGCAAGTGGGGATGAGAAGGGAGTCCAACTCCTCTCAAGGAGGCCTAGTGGGGAATTTCCGCCAGAGGCCTAAGCCACTCAGCTATCCAGCTGTTCAATATGAATGTGCAGTCAAAATTATACCTATTGATTCAGAAGGAAGGCCGATCTCATCATTTTTGCCTGCTTGTCTGCCAAGGAGCAAACAAGCTGCAGGCACAGTTAACCACCAGTGGAAAAGGACAGGTGAATGAGCAAGTGGGGATGAGAAGGTTAAATGGTGCCATCATTATGTACCAGGGACCTTTTTGCAGTGAGCCACCTGCAAAACGGTGTATCCTGGCAGACACCCTGCTGTGGCACTCTTGGCTGTGATTAGAGTTAAATGATCAGAGGTTCAAAGAGTTCACTGCTAAATCATCATGTGCTTTCTCATTCTAAAATATTGTTTTGGCCCAATTAAGCAGCTTTCAGATTTACTGAAAAGCTTGGGGCTGGACTGAGAGCACCAACTGATGCCTCACTCTAGAAGCAGTAAAGAATTCATCAAAGGCATATCTTCAAACTCTTTACCATCTGCTCGTGTAGGCTAATTAATGATGTGGGACTCAAGCTGCTAGAGGCAGATGACACAGAGAATTCCTCTTCTGACTGTTCACTTCCCAATATTTCTGAAATCGCTGTGGCTGCAACAGGAGATCCTGCTGGGACTTCCTCTTGAGCAGCTTCATGCGCATAGTCGATCAGTGGCTCTGAACATCTGCCATGACCCGAGGTTACTAGTGGAACGGAGCTGTCTTGTGAGTCACAGGGCATTCCCAGATTAATGTCCAAGCAACTGGTGAAATCCTCAGCTGTGTTTTGGTCTTCTAAGTCATTCGGTGAGAAGAGTGGGTTTAAAAGACAGTGCCCAGTTTGATTTACCACGTTTCCATCTATGGTCTTGGGACTGTTTGTCATTAACTTGGAGGGCGAGTCTTGCTCCATTTGCTGGCAAACTTTGTACAGAAAAGATGACCCATGTTTGGCCATGGCTGCACTGTCGCTGCTGTGACGGTCTTCTTCACCAGATGCCGTAACCCTTGTAGGTGTAATCACTGTAGCAGGTGCCTGACTTGCATCATCGTCTCTTAAATGATGTTCCCAATCGTCAATGCCACTAACAAAACCTTGAAAGCAGATCCGATGGCTTTCAGGAGATCTTTTTGAAACAACATCATGGGTGTTCTGCTCATGTCTTGGAAGCTCTTCTGCTAGCTTGCTTTGCAGATGACCTCCATCATGCATTTGAGTGCCTTGTCCATTAAGTTCAATGGACCTACTAGAAACAGCTGTTTTTTGTTTAGCGTTGTTTGCTTCTGTCGTTTGGTTATTTCTGAAGTTCCCAATCGGCCTTGTGTCTAGACATTTGCTAGACCGACTACTCTCACTTGAAACTATTTCGGCAGGTCTGAGAGATGATGACTTCTCCCATTCAATTTTCAAGGACCTATAAGAATTCTCTGCATTTTGCCAAGAAGGTGAGAAACTGTTCTGGCCAACGTTTGGCTGCTTATCTTGAGGTTCAGAAATTGCTAAAGAAGTGCAAGAGGGAGACATTTTGCTTTTAAGGATCCCTTTCTTAACTTCTTTGCCTCCTTTAATTTGCAAATATGAAGCATTTGCTGAGCTTCTACTAGTTGGTTTAGGGAGAGTTTGAGGGGAAAATTTAGCAGAATTACTGGAAATGTTTGAAATGTCAATTTTTCTCTTTATGTTCTCTGCATTTTTTCTTTTTTGTTTGGACCTGAAAAATACCAAAAGGTGAAAGCATTTTTAAATATTATCAACTCTAGCGTTCTTTGGAGAAGGATATCTAGAGGAAGCCAATAAGTAAATCAAAACTTGTATTAATGTATTTTTCCATGTATAAGACTATACTTATGTCTAAAATCTTTAGAGTAAAAATTGGGGGTCTCTTATACACGGAAGTAAGCTGAGGAGAGAACAAACACAAGTGGAGGGGAAAGCAGGGATCAAAGCGATCCTGCAGTGCTTTGATCCCTTCTCCCCTACACTTGCTAAGCCCCACTTAGATTTCTTAATTTGGGTTAGAAAAGTTGGGGGGTGTCTTATACATGGGGGCATCTTATGCATGGAAAAATACAGTAATTTTGCATGACACGGGAAATACAAATAGTAGCTGCATCTGAATCACAGAGCAATCCTTTACTCAAATCACACTGAAGATGCTCTTTGGCTACCTCAGTAGATAAGCTACTGTACATAAAATATGCTTAGTGAAAATATGAAAACACTGTAGGTTTTATGAACAAGCTCCAGGCATTTCTGCAAAACACTGCAATCCAGGACCATGGCAATCAACACACCTCAAACCCTTCCACACAACCACAGGCAGGCAATGGCCATCCACCTCAACAGCCAATGAACTCATGACAGTGGAGGGGCCCTTCCTCAAGAACACAACCCTGCATGATCCTATGTGTTACACAGGAAAATGCCACATCACTTCCAATGCCATCACCTCCAGAAGCACAGCTAGAAAATTGCCTTTCTAATATACGGTAATTCATCCCTCCAGGCAGAGGCCACTTTTCCCTTGTTCATCACAACCACTGTTATGACGAATACATGCAGTGGCAGAAGGAGAAGACACACAGCACAAGATCCATACAGATCCTTGGGCTTGATCCTTGCTGAGGAAACATACATTCCTCCTGAGGATGTATGTTCAAGGCCATCCAGGGAGGAAAATACTATTTTGATCAGCAATCAAGGGAAAAGGCTAGGGGAGCATACTAAGAGGAGTTGCAGAAATAACACTGACAGCAGTGAGGGGTAGAAGAGTATGTCATTTTACATTCAGAGGATCCTCTACTCAACTCCATGGAATGACTGAACAGAAGGTAAGGTAGGAAGAAGACCCTCCAACTTTGCCAACTAGGAGAAGCACTTTCTACCTCAAGAGCTCCTGCTGAGGTTAACCAACCTTCCCTCTTGCCACAGCAACCTTAACAATGACATTTATGTGTTTCATCAATGCAGAGGTGCTTCCGTGCTGTCACCCAAAGTTCATACCTCCTTGCTTCATCCGTGCAAGGATATGTGGAGCAAAGACATTGCTTGCTGCCGTTATTCGAAGTCTGGATGCTTTTTGCCTTGCTTCTCTTTGGTGCTGAGTCACCTACTTCAGTTGCTGCCAGTTCTGGAGAGATTTGAGAAGTCTCGAGAGAAAATCAACAGGAATTCTTAAGACAAAACCACTATTGCAATAGAAATAATGTAAGAACTTTAAAAAAAAACTTTTAAAATCTATTCCATAGGAAAAGTTATAAACATGAAAATATTGTTGCTGTTCTTAGAATACAAAAATTAATGCACAAAGAGCCAAATATTGGATTCTTCCAAACTGATGATTTAGATGTTTGATTACAATTCCCATAACCACTAACTGCTAATCTTGCTGAACAGGTCTGATAGGACTGGCTGTTAGAACATCTAACATTCCCCAGTCCTGACCCATTTCATTTTATTTTCTCAACAGACTTTTATTTGTAAAACAAATTAAAAAAAGATAGAAATAGTAAGAAAACACAGGTGGTATAAAAATTAGAAAGACATTGTCATCAGATACATACAGCAGCTACTATTAATTTGGAAGCAGACGAAACCAGTCTCTGTAGTTCTTCCAGTGACATAAATGGAACAGCAAGTATCTGTAGGCGGAGAGAGGCACTCTGCGTGGTCTTTTGCCTAATGAGAGATGAAGGTTCACTCATGTCATGCAAAATCCTTCATATTTGTCAAGCGTTACTCTCCAGAGGAGGAGGTCACTAACATTGTGTAGCCATCATCTCAACAGCATCAAGACCACTGAAATTAGCTACTATTCAGCCCAAGGAATACCGTAACTCTCATCCAAAGTGGCTCAACCTGTAGCTGTGACTATGAAAATTCCCAAATCTGCCACCAACACCTCACAGATACAGAGCTGGGGATGTAGTGAAGCAGTTTGGTGTCCGAGGGCTTGGCTACATAGCTCAATGGGAGCAGAGTGGAGGGGGCTACATGGGGTTGCTTAAAGGTCATGTAGAGGTTTCGTATGCCATTTGGTGCGATCCTTGCATCAACATGGCATATGCACCTGAAGAGAGCATGTTTGGCTCACCTTTCTTAAGAAAATGGGGGGGGGGATTCCTCTCCTTGACTTCTCTCTCCTCCATCTGGGAGGAAGCTTTCATGTGTTTTTATTCCTCACCACCACCAAAAGATATAGAGCATCAGTGCTGTTCTAACAGGCTTCCAAAAACAAAACCTTTTGCTTCCTCCCTCTGCCACTCCACAAAGGAGCTGAAGAAGTGTTTAGTTTCCCAATATTGTGAAGTGGCTAAGCTGACTTCTTAAGCTACTTAATTATATTGGGAAATTTCAAATGTAAAGAAAATTTGAAGCTGTAAACTACACTTTTTTGTTGTTGTTGTTTTTAATTTTATCTGGTGTTTTAAATTGCTTCAGCAATGTATCACATTTTGGCACACAGTGCATCAAACGTATTTAGAAACACATTTTCCAAGCCAGATGTATTCAATGGAGGAGGGATCAAAATTAAACCTTTAGCAAGAATCCCAGCAATCACACACAATGGAAACAAACCAAAACAGAGTGAACTTACCCACACCTAAAAAAGAGTAGCCCCTGACGGGGACCCAGAGAAGTGTGGGTAGGAACACTGTGGGGAGCAAGCTGATTTGCACTGGAGCATACGTCATCTCATTGCCAGCAAAAAGAGCAAACCAGCCCAACCTCACCTCAGGCCAAACAACGGGACAAATGCCTGTGTAATCACCCTATTAGTGTAATATAAAAAGCAACAATAATTATGTTGATCTGTAAGGGGGGGAGGGAATTCTCTCCTAAATCCATGAGTGGGCAAATCATTTTTACAAGAACAATTAAACGGTTACAAAACGCGAGCAAGTTTTCAAGTTCTCCAGAACTCATCTAATCTGATGAAAACCCAAAAGCTTGCTCACTGTTCTGTGACATTCTGGTAAGCCTTAATCATGGTGAGCCAAAGACATTTTTCTGCCTGAGATAAAAGACACAACGGCATACCTGTGTATGTGCAGAAGCCAGATGGACTGGCAGTTCAATCTTCTTTAATCTCTGGTGATGGGTGAGTCTTCCACTACACCCCAGACAAATACCTTATCTAGTTTAGGGGCCAAGGACAAATTGTACAGCAGAAGGGAGCAGCTTTGACATCCAGACGTAATAGCCAGAAAACTGCCCGCACTGCCTCCCACTATCAGCTGCCTGGCAATACCTCATTCTGCCTAATAGCAGGTATTGTCCATCTATGGAACTCCGTGCAATACATTTTGATATAATGGAACGGCTGTCCTTTCAATATGGAATTGATCTAGTATCACTCAAGGACATGCATTCGTTTCCTAGCACACGAACAAAAAGGAGAGCAGGCAGACTTCCATTGGCATGAATTGGCCCAGTAATGTATCTTACCTCTTCATACCTTTCACTTTGTGCTCATGCTTTCTGTCAGGTACATAATCCTACAAAGAAAACACCCATGTCACTGATTTGTCTACTGAGAACAAAACCACAAGTTCCCTGTACAGCAGGCAAACTATTTGTCCAAGGGGCTCAAAGTGAACACATGGACATTAGCTTCTGGAGCATACAAAGATATTTTTCTGCCTGATGTGCATTAATAAATGGTACAGTGGACCCTCGACTTACGGAATTAATCCGTGTTGGAACAGTGGCTGCAGATCGAAAATCTGTAGGTCGAGGCTCCATTGACTTACAATGCACTGAAAACCAATTAAGCCATAACCGGCCATTTTTGTTCCATTTTGGGTTTTTTTTCCCAGTCTGTAGGTAGATTCTCCGGCTGCAAGTCAAACCTAAATTTTGCAGCCAGAGAAGTCTGTAACTCGAAAAGTCTGTAAGTGGAGCCTTCTGTAAGTTGAGGGTCCACTGTATTCCCACTCTTACCCAAGACAAGGTGCATGATCCCTAAGCCAATTAGTACGTAAGACACAAGCAGCTCACAAACATCTCTTCTCATCCCTGGCTGTAAAAAATATGGTAACAGTGAAGTAAATAATTAACAACTTTCATGGAACTTTAGATCTGCTACCTGAGGCAGTCACCTCGGTCTTTCAAATAACAAGGCACCTGCTCTAAAGGAGTAGACAGCATGTTCCTATTGCAATGCACTCTTGGTAGCTGTTTTCTCTCCCAATAACAAAAAAGCAGGATTGATTAATTGTACAGTACTTGTATTCTAGCACGGTGTGGTATAAAAACATACATAGTTCTGCTGCTAATCCTGGCCATCAGGCTTCATTGTCCATGACTGGACAATGGAGTTGGAAAGTTAAGTGTTGCAACAGAGTTCCCGTAGAGCAGAGTCCTGTGTGAACCGGAGCCCTGGAAAATCGGGTTTCTAATCACATACAGAATCCACATGAGTACAAAAGACTCCCACCTTCTTCCTACTATAGAAATAACCTCTTCAGGAGGGCAATAAAGGTGGGAGAAGCTAGTCTGTTTGTTTTTCTTTTTCCCCCTTGTGTATTGAGTTTACAGAGAAGCAGAATGCTTGACTAGTCTGCAAGTAATTTACTAGCATAAATCCCACAACGTATATATCAGGATATCCCATCTGGTCACGTGCTTTGGGCCAAATGGAAAAGGATTGTTAAGTTTGTACATCAAGCTGAGCCACATTATGCTAGTCACAACTTGCTTTAACTACAGAGCGTCCCACAATAGAAATAATCTCACAGAAGACCAAACAATCCGGAGTTTGTCTTTGACATTTCAGGTCTGTTTTTCTTCCACTCTTTTATCTATTCTTGTTTTCAAGATGGGAGCTTAGAAATTAAGCCATGATTCAAAATTTGGAGGCAACAAGAGGCCACAGTGTGTAAGCCACCAGCAAACCATGACTTCAAATTGTGATTTGCAGTTAGCTAATATGGGGTCACGAAGAGTTGGACACAACTAAAGACCAACAACAAACCATTATCTGTTTGAAATGATAAGTTCAGACACAATAGCAAAACAGAACTAATCAAATATTGCTCTTAATGTGCAAACTCAGTTGATCTAAGGTTTTATATACAAAGTAACAAAGATTTTTATAATGGTAATTTAAGCATTACTTGTGCCATCTTTTTAATAGACTTTTCCAGATTCTTTTGCTTTTCTGGGCTTTTCTGAACTTTTCTGGCACAGTCTTCAGCATTGCCCACATAAGCACGAAGATATGCTTCTAATTTAATTTTGGCAAAATCATGCTCCTTCTTATCCCTCTGGTTTGTCAGACATGCCGGCTGCTGCAATAAGCAAACAAACAAACAACAAGAACCTTTATTCAGAGTCAGAGATGCGAAGCCCAAGAAAATCTTATTTGGTGTGAACAAGGTTTACAACTACAGCCCACAACATTTATGCACTTTTGGGGGTTTGTCCATTGTCAACATATAATATTTATGTAAGCCCCTTCCTAACTAGCATTTAGCAATCTGTCAAAATGCTGCTTATAAGAGAAGCTTTTCAAGATCTCCTTCTCTCATAATACATTTCTGTAACATTTAATTGGTTTTCTCTCTGTTGTTGCTGCTGGGGGAATTGTAATTTCTGGGTATTTTCTCTCTTTGTTAAGAGGTTTGGGTGGTGGTGGGGTTGGTGTTCTTACGTTTTATGTATATAGACACCCTGAGCAGTGGCAATGACACTAGATGGGCGGGATAAAAGTGGAATGAATGGATGGATGAATAAATAAATAAATAAAATTTAGTTTCTATTTATTACCGTGTTTCCCCGAAAATAAGACGTAACCTGAAAATAAGCCCTAGTACAATTTTTCAGGATGCTCGTAATGTAAGCCCTATCCCAAATCCAAGCCCTAGTCATGTGAAACCCCACCCTCCACCATTGTGGAGGTATTGCCCTCGTGTCCTGCTTGTGTACCTCTCAGAGGGATTTAGCTGGCCACTGTGGGAAACAGAATGCTTGATTAGACAGTTCAGTGAGTCCACTTTTTTGTAAATATTGTAAATATACCTTCCGAGAATTAGAGAAGCCTAAAACCTATTTATATCCCACCCATTAGTGGCAAGCCCACCTCTTCCTCCCAATTACTGGGGAACAACAGCAGTAGGATGGTATTGTCCTCGTGTCCTGCTTGTGTACCTCTCAGACGGATTTAGCTGGCCACTGTGGGAAACAGAATGCTTGATTAGACAGTTCAGTGAGTCCACTTTTTTGTAAATATTGTAAATATACCTTCCGAGAATTAGAGAAGCCTAAAACCTAGGAGGATCTCCAAAGACCAATCTCCGATCAAAGAAGGAAATTATAAAATCATAGAATCATCGTAGGCTTGGAAGGGACCTTGGAGGTCTTCTAGTCCAACCCCCTGCCCAAGGCAGGAGACCTCATCCCATCCCAGACAGATAGATGGCTGTCCAGTCTTTTCTTGAAAATCCATACCCCTGATACTTCTGTGCAAGGCTAACATGGACATTCGCTAAACTACCACTGGACCAATAAAGAAGCTTAGCTATAAACAGGACATAACAGCACTACAATGTGTGACAGATGATATTGTGAAAGTCACACAAATGCTAGCAAGTGCTTACCAAGTGCAATCTTTCAGCCTCATCATGGATGACTCCAGAAGAATCAAAGGAATCTTCTCTTCTTTGCACATCAATGTAATATTTTCTGCGGGGTGATTAAAATACATTTTGTGATTAATCATCACTACTACTATTAGTACATTTAGAAGAAAATGTCATCTTGTTTTCTGTGCAATCCATAGCCTGTTGAAACATCCACACATGCAGCTGTGATCAAGCAAGTGACTTACAAAATATGGCAAGGTGCCTAGCTTGCGACCAGCTGTGTTACAGGCACAAGATATGCACCATTTAGGTTTGTTCTAGTTGTTTTTAAAACTTCATCTCCCAGAATTCTCCAAGAATTCTCCAGGCAGAATTTTCCAACCTGCAGACCCCCACTTACGCCGCACTGCTGGATAGCTCAGTGGTTTAGGTCTCTGGCTGCAGAGGCTGGGGGTTCAATTCCCCACTGTGCCTCCATGACAGGGTCTGGACGTGATGATTTCCAGGGTCTCTTCCAGCTCTGTAGTTCGACGACGATGATGATTTCCCTTACCTGGACCTGCACTAAGCTCAGAGGCTGGACGACCTTCTGAGACCTTGACTTCCTGCTGTTAAGGTATGACAAAGGAAGCTGCTGTGGAGCTTCCTGTGTGTGGTAATTCTTTGGGAGACACCCTCTATAAAGCCTAAAGGACAGCAAGTCTACCACTCCCAAGAAGAACCATGTGTAACGTTTACCATGTGGCCCCTGCTTGTTTCACCAAACAAAGGGCTCATGCTACATATCCCACCAGCTGACACCAATTGCGATGCCCCTCATGAGTCCTCAGGTTGTTTCACTAGCCTGACGCCCATGACATTTTCTCCTCTTTCTGCTGCCACCACTTGACTTCTGTCAACATCTTTTAATTAGAAAGATTGAGGTCCAAACTGCGCATAAAGTTGAACAACACTGGCTTATTGATTACAGTTCACTTAAACAGGTTCTACAGACTTTATTCATTAGTTTAGTAATAACTTGTTTCACTCTCAACTCTCTTAGCTCTCTCTAAGTTCCACACTCTTAACTGCCTCCCTTAACTCCTAACTCTGCCACACTCTCTAACTACCACTGACTCACTTCTACATCAGACTCTCATCTCTGACTACTGGACTGAACTAAAACTCAGCTCCTCTTCTCTCTGGCTCACCCCTCCCTTCTGGTTTCTCTGGCTCTGCCTCCCAACAGCTCCCATTCGTACATGCAAATAACCTCCTAAATGAGCCAGAGCAGGGTGATCACCACACTGTGGCAGCCTCCTTTTTGCACCTTAACTACAGGAAATCAAAGTCTCAAAAGGCCACCCAGCCCCAGAGGCGGGTTCTGGTCCAGATGAGGGAAACACAGGTGTTGATCTCTGGCTGGAATGCCCACAAGTCTGCCTGGGGGATTCTTGCAGAATTCTGGGAGTTGGCATCTGAAAGAAAAGAAAGAAAGAAAGAACACATCCCTGACAGGCACCTTGCTAAATGCTGAGCACTACTTGCATGATTAGGATAACATTCACAATAAATATTTTGTAGTGCTAGGGATTGGTCTGGTAATCCTTGCATACAAATTGATTCACCGTAAGTGGTTTCTAAGACCAGTATCTCTATATGCAAGACACCAAGTATTTGTAAAGTGTAGAAAAGTTTTGAAAAATGATTATTAACCAAGATACTTGTGCACACTTGCTGAAAAACAATTCCCACTGAACTGAATATTTACTTCTAAGTTCATAAATACAAGTTGTGCTAATGTGTTTTTTTTTTTGAAATAAAGGAAATTGTCTGCTGACCCGCCCTATCAATCATGTGTAAATTTACTATTTCATTATTTCATCATTTTATTGCAAATCCACCGTTCAAGTTGCAATCCACAAGCCTTTTGTCATTATCCTAGTTTCCTGGGAGTAAGACGGCAGAACTTAGTGGGTCCAGCTCTTGCCTTTGCACCAAGCAAATGCTTTCAAGCCAGCTAATAATAATAATAAAATACAGATTTAAAACAAGAGAGAAATTTTAAAATATCATACAAATAAATTAAAAAGACAACTAAAAACCAAATTCTGATTTTTTTTAAAAAAAAGACTACAATCCCCAGAGACTACACTCCACATAGGTTTGTCTTACAGTCTATGGGCCACCGAGCGAGTAAGTGCGCGTTCTGACACCGAGCCCACCAAAACTCCCGCCATGACGTCGTCGGCTCCTGAGCCAGCTGCGCGAAAGCGTCGCCGGGTCTCCACGGCAACCGGCCGGGGAGGCTTCTCCCGTGGGATTGACGGAATTTTCCTCCAATGGGAGAGGAGGTACGGGAGGGGGGCGGCGGCCAATGCAGATTACGGGAAGATAGAGGCGGAGAATTGCACCTAATTTTTAATGACGAGTTTTGGTAGCTCACTATTTAAATAAATCCTGTTGATCAAATGGATCTAGTTGGGAATAAGAACTGGATTTAGGCCAGAGTAATTTTGAGAACGGAAGGATGCATAAAGAGGGAGCAATGGCAGCCTCGCCCACCCCTGACCGCTTGTACTTCTGAGGGTGCGGGTCGGTCACTCTCTGCCTTTGATGAAAAGGGTAGATATTTTCATTACAAATGGCAATATGTTGTCGAGTCGCCTCCGCAGAGCGATCTCCAGAATGTCCTGACCTCCACGCCCTTGCTCAGCTCTTCAAAGCTGTGGCTCCCTTTATGGAGCTAATCCATCTCGTATTTGGTCATCCTCTTCTTCTGTTGTCTTCAACTTTGCCTAGCATTTTTCCAGTCATCTCATACATAGTATACACAAAGTACAGTACAACCCCGGTTTCATCATTTTTGCTTAGTTCAGAGTTGATTCGATGTGGGGTCCACTTCCTCATGTGGCCCAGGCTATCTATAAAGTATTTATTTATTTGTTTGTTTGTTTTGTTTATTTTGTTTATTTGTTTTGTTTATTTGTTTTGCTTATTTGTTTGTTCCCTGTCAGCATTTTTCATTGTCAACATTTCATATCCAAGAGGGCTCACAGACTGCAACACAAGAAATCATTTGCTACTTCCCATGCAAAAAACATGGACCCCCCCAAGCATGGATCCTTATAGACCCCCATAGGTTTTGATGTAAGGTTTTCCCCAAACTACTGTCCAATCATAGGCCCCATCTGCATCCACAGACTACAATACAGAAATTATGGGTCCAATGCATGGCTTTGGAGTTGGAGAAAACCATGGATCCTCATGGATCCACACGATTTTTATGTGAGATCTGCCCCAAATTGGATCCTGCCCATTCGCACTGACCCTGGGTACGTATTGCCATGAAGAACACCGTCATGTACTTTATGGCGATTGTGTTTCTGTTGCACATCGCAGGCTGACCTAAAGAGTCTCACAAAGAACAAGATGGAGTTCACTCCATCCCACATCCAAAGGCTGGCTGGACGGACAGTTGCACCTTTCTTCAAGACTAGACCCACTACGTGGTTCAGGCCTGATCAAGGCTGTTCAATGTTGGCCACAGAAATGAGGAGGCTTCTTTTAGTGAACAAATCACAGGCCCTCCAATAATACATGGTATGCAATGTGGGATAGATCCAGATCTGGGACACAGAAGGTGTGTGTGCACGAACCACACTGCTTCATTTCTGAGGCGAAGGCAGTAAGGTTGCCGCCATTACTGCAGCTCGCATATTATTATTATTTTTCCTGTCCAGTTTGGTATATCAATCCATTGCTCAAAATACATTACAGCCAGGATTTTGTAAAAAATATCCATAATAACAATATATTGAGCTGTGGGTGGTCGTTGTTCGCCGTGTGAAAGAAAAACGTTTCACAGTCACCCCTTCCTAACTGCCTGCGTGTTTGTACGTGTAGGTGGAGCCTGCCACCCTTATTGCCGAGAGTGTGCCTTTTTTTGTACTGTGTTTGTAGCCCTGTAAATTGATAGTTGGCTGAATTTATGCCTAGGTTTTTAGATAGATACATGTCTGGATTGACTTGCGTGTTCCAGTGGATATACAGTAACATATGGTGGTCCCATGTCCGTTGTGCACAATGTGTTTCTGTGGGATCAACCAGTACAACGAATGCCACTTCTCAAAACAGAAAACCCCAGACTTATATCGATACATCGATAAAGTGAATAATTAAAAAATTTGAGGGCATAATGGACCATTGAGGATAAAGAGAAAATAAGCCAGCAACATTTTAAAGATGGCCATATTGATTCAAATAGGAAGAAATAGCAGCCGCTAAAGGTTCTTGGGATGTTCATACCAGTATATATATCACATGACCACAACCTAATACAACAGAGGTATGGAAAGTATCGGAAGAACTACAGAACATTTCCCTCGTGTGACCAGGAGTGTGTCCGACTCTTCATGACCCCATGGACCAGAGCATGGCCCTCCTGTCTTCCACTGCCTCCCAGAGTTGGGTCAAATTCCTGTTGGTTGCTTCGATGACACTGTCCAACCATCTCATCCTCTGTCGTCCCCTTCTCCTCTTGCCTTCACACTTTCCCAACATCAGGGTCTTTTCCAGGGAGATTGTAATACCTTACTTACCTCCAAAGCCCTATCATGGTCATAATAAATCAATTATAACTTGTCAGCACAAAACAACAAATGTTGGCTATTTACTTCCTGGGATTCTTGTTTTTGCACCACTGCAAACCCATGAGCAGAAGGACCCAGAATGTCTGTATAGTAGTGTGTGTGCACAGGTGAGGCCTGTAATGGGACAGTAGTTCGGTTAGGATTCTACACAAAAATAAGTTGCGTAGAGCCATTCGGATCCATGTTTTTTCTGCCACTGCTAAGTCATGTGCCGAAGAACTCATAATTTCTGTGCTGTAATCTGTGGGCACAGATGGGATCTATGGTCTGCTAGTGGTTTAGAGAGGATTCCATCTAAAGAGCATATGAAATCATGTGGATCTATGATTCAGGCCCATGCTTTTGCACCTATGCAATGCCAAGCGCTGTGGACATCGATGGGATCTGTAATTTGAAATCATAAGTACCTGTTCTTTTTTACCTGGACTCAAACAATGCCGACAGCGCACACATCCTGGTACTAGGGGAGCTGATTAATGCATGTAATATAATGTAGAAATAACCACAATCTCATCCTGAATGAAACCTCAGACGATAGATTCGAAGTTCCTAATAATCAAAACGAACGAATGTAATAAGGGCATAGAGAAATTCCTGGCCCAACAGCCCACCCCCTGCAACCCAGAAGTACGCCACCGTTGTAGCTCTACTTTTATACCTCTATGGAACAAAATGAGTCTCCGTACAAAGAACAAGGCCTTTCTGCCTATAGGGATGGGTGGGGCGGAGTGGAGTATTTGGTTTGACGTCATCACTTTGCGCCCATACGTTCTGCGCGGACACAGGGTTAAAAAAAAGATGGCGGTGACCGCGGCCCTGATCTGGAAGGGGCCACTTCGTGGTACGGCGTGTGGATGTATATATTGGGGGGCGGGGGGGGCGGGACAGACGCGTCTGGCTCGCCAGCTCTCTTGGTCTCCCCCGACATATCCGGATATTGACTCTCTTGCCCGTTTCTTCTTCCGCCGTCTCTCTCTTTTTAAGTCTCCCTCTGCCCCATTTTGCTCCCCTGGAAAGATTCTCCGTCGCCGTCCTCCCTAGCAGGGTCGTTGTGTGTGTGGAGGGGGGGATAGGCCTGTTGGGCCGGCAGGGCTGTTGAGCAGCCGCAAGAGAGAGAGGCCCCTCCACCCCAGGTTGTGTCGGGGATGCGGTGGCGCTGAGATGAGAGGGAAGGGGAAAGGCGCTCCGGGCATCCTCAGAGGCGCAGTGACTTGCCCACCGCGCCCGGTCCTTCCTTCCCGAGAGGCTCGGGGTTGTCGAGGAAGCGACCCTTTGCCTTTCCCCTTGTTTAATCTTCACAGCAGTCGATGAGGTCGCTTAGCCACAGAGAGGTGGACGGGCCGGGATTGTCCAGTCAGTTTCGTGGTGCCTGTGGGGCTTTGGTACTGAGCCTCCTTAAGTCCTACTCTGAGGCTCAGTCTGGAGGTGAAAACATCCTGTGGTGCTGAGTTCTGCTTATCCTGTAATGTGGGATGGAAGAAGGAATTCTGCCTGGTGCTGCTTTTTTCCCCTTTTCTTTCCTTTTCAAAAGCCCATTCTTGTGACACTTAGCATGTTGTTACAAATACAGATTACTTGTTTGTCTGTATTCCTATGGTTTAATCTGATGGGCAGTGGCAGCTAAGCAGAGGTTTTTCCCTTCACATGTTACCTTTTAGTTAAAAGTTACAATGTTTTGCAGACAAAGCATGTGTTCTGGCCATTGTATTACAAACCATCTTCCTTAATTTATCAGTTCTAAAGGAATGGCCTGCCTACATTCCCACATAATCAGCCAAGTGGGTGTCAGTGGTATGTTCCAACACAGCACCACTTAGGTACAGAAGGAGCATATTGGCAGGTGTGGTGGAACCTTGAGATTTGAAAAATAGGAAAAGAAGTCTGGTGACAAAACTCCCAAATCCAAGATAGGACTGATGGAATACTTGTTCTGTCAATTTGATAAATAAAATATTCTGTGTTTGGCAGGTGCCAGAGGATGTTGGACTTTGCAATCCATGTATTCCCCTTGCAGGTTTTGTAGTACAGGGGCAACCATGAAGAACATCAATAAGCCAGTTCTTGACCGCATAATCAGAGTGGATCATGCAGGAGAATATGGTGCTAATCGCATTTATGCAGGGCAAATGGCAGTGTTGGGTAGGACTTCTGTAGGACCAATTATTCAGGTAAGTATATTTGGAAAATGTATGCATGCGTGCAGTCTTGATTCCTCTTGCATCTTCTCAAAAAGAAATGTTAAACGATGGCAGTATAGAATATAGTGCAGGGAAAGTGCCCTAGAGGGAGACCACTGCTGTGATACAAGGATATCTGTAAGCGGGATCTGAAGGTCTTAGGAATGGACCGCAACAGATGGGAAACTTTGACATCTGATCGTTCAGCCTGGAGGCAGGTGGTGCAGTGGGGCCACTCCCATTTTGAAGAGACCCTTGTCCAGCAGCCGAGGCAAAGAGGCAGTCCCGAAACCAGATAAATCTGGGAGCTGGACAGGGGGCAGATTGTATTTGTCTTCAGTGTGGAAGGGATGGTCACTCTCGAATTGGCCTCCTCAGCCACACTATATGCTGTTCCAAGGCCTCTATTCAGAGCATGTTACCATAGTCTCTAAAGACTGAAGGATGCCTACAGCAGTAGAATATGTGTGTAAAGCTAGCTACTGAACAACGTACTGTACCCTGGTTTTGTAGAACTGACATGTGCAGCTGTATTTAGACATAACATTCCCAGTTCTTCAGGCCTTAGCTTGACAGATCAGGAACAAACCCTGGATTCCTGTATCTCAAATGGTTCCCCCAATCCTGTTTGCATTCTGTCTAGCAAATAACTTTGGCTTGATCCAAACCATACATTATGTCTGAAGGAGTAGAATAATGGCCTTGAAGGAAACTTTTGAGTTGTTTCAGTGCGTATAGTTGGCTCAACACATAGGGCAGAATATGTTCTTGAACTGGTTTTTGCACCTCAGCATGAACGGTGTTTGGATGTGATGGGGCAAAGTAGTCCCACTATCATGGCCAGGCTACTTCCTGGTAGAGGCTGCCAGCTTACTTCATAGCAATAGTAGTACCAGAGTAATTATAATCCACCTCCCTCAAATAAAGTGTTGAAGGTTGACCTTGAAGATTAAATGCAGTGAATCTCCCTAAGTGTTTTGAGGACAAAATAAGTTTTCTCCATAATGTTGTTAACACCAAGGTAGGAAGAAGTGCTAAAGACATGTCCAAGTGCTTCATGTTATTCAGTTGGGATCAGTTTCAGATTCTGATGCCTGATGATGTGAAAAAGATACTTATCAGTAGTGTGGCCAACCACATACCTATCATAGCTTAATAAAATTAATAGTGGGGGCTGGATTTAAGGGGCAGCATCAGCTGCCTTGAAAGAGGTACTTTTGCAATTCCTCCTGAAAAAGCCTAAATCTAGTGGTCTGTAAAAACTACCATTGGATTACAAATTCTTGAACGGTGTTGGTGGCGAGCTACAGAAGCACTTGGGGAATATGCATTTTTTCTTGGCGTAGTTTAGTTTGGGTTCAGGGTAGGCCTGCTTTACAGACAGACTCTGTCTTGTTTTACTAATGGATAAAACCATTAGTGAGGGTGGGCCAGACAGAGTGCAACCCCCTTGTCCTTGCTTTCTGTCTCAGTGGCTTTTGTTACCATTGATGTTGGTATCCTCTTGAACTGCTCTGTGACGTTTGGATATGAGCCACTGCGTTGCAAAGATTCTGCTCTGACCTACTGAGTTGGTTCCAGAAGCTGGCATTGAGGAATTATGTCTCTCCCCCTTGACGGCTGTGTTCTGAGGTATCACAGGGCACAATCATCACCTTGTGATTTTTGTATTTGTATGGAGTGGTCATTGGGGGCAAGATGCCATCAGTATGCTGTGTCTCTTTGTTACATCTGAGTCAGCAGTGGCCAAGATCAACCTGGGTCAATGTCTGGATGCAGTGGTGGGCTGGATGAAGGCTCATGAACTGAACTTGAATCCTGGAAAAACAGAAGCCCCCCTGGGAGCTGCATATTTTATTTGGAAGAAGTTGTATTCCACCCGACCCACGCACAGCCAGATTGGGCAAAATGCAGCCCTAGAACTGTATGTGACCCCCCCAGCTGTTTTGTTGTTATTAAATTATTTAAATAATAACAACAAAATTAATTCAAATTATTTATATGATGTCTTTCTTCCCATAGGGGACCCAAAGTGGCTTACAACAGGTTTAAAAACACTATATAAATATAATATTTTAAAAATAATTAAATAGACTCATAGAGTTGGAAGAGACTACTGAGTGCAACCCCCTGCCATGCAGGAACATCCATCAGAGTACTCCCAACAGGTGGCCATCCAATCTCTGCTTAAAAACCTCCAAAGAAGAAGACCCCACCGCCCTTCAAGGCAGCCTCTTTCACTGCCGGACAGTTCTGACCATCAGGAAGTTCTTCCTAATGTTCAGATGGAATCTCTTTTCCTGTAGTTTGAAACCATTGCTCTGTGTCTTAGCCTCTGGAGCCCCTGAAAAACAAACCTGGTTGTCAACATCCTTTTTGAATTGAGGTGCCCAGAACTGGACACAATACTCCAGGTGAGGTCTGACCAAAGCAGAATAAATAAATAATAAAATAGTTAAGATTGGTCTATATTTCTTTCACATTGTGTTTATTGCCATGGCCAAAAAAAGGTCAAAATGGCTGTATAGCTGGGTTAGGCCTACAACTTTTTAAAAAAGATGAACAGTCCCTGCAATTTATTATTTCTCTGGTTAGATAATGGGGAAACTGAGGACAGCTTCTCAGTGGCTGCTCCCAGGCTTTGGCATGCACTGCCCCAGAGGCCAGGTTGGCCTCCTCTCTCTTGTCCTTCTGTCATCAGGTAAAGACCTTCCTCTTCAGCAGTGTTTTACGCAGTGAGTTGCCTCAGGAATGCTGTTTTGTAACTTACAGGTTTTTTAAAATATTTTGATTGTTGTTCAACTTGCATGAGAGAGAGAGAGAGAGAGAGGCAGAGCCCTGCCCAGCAGCTGAAAGTTAGAGGGGACGTTGCTTGCAGGCTTTTGTACTTGTGCTGCTGAATGCTATCTTTTTAATATTTGCAATTTTTTTAAAAAACAGCAAATGTGGAATCAGGAAAAGGACCACTTGAAAAAATTCAAGGAGCTAATGATCTTGTACAGAGTCCGGCCAACTGTTCTCTTGCCTTTCTGGAATGTTGCAGGTTTTGTGTTGGGTGAGATTCCTTGTTTTTCCTCTTTGTTATGAGTCCCACTGCATAAGTCAGGCAAATGTTTGATTTTCAAATATATTTGCCACAGGTGCTGGGTCCGCTTTACTTGGGAAAGAAGGTGCAATGGCTTGCACAGTGGCTGTGGAAGAGAGCATCTCTGAGCATTATAACAACCAAATCAGGACACTCATGGAAGAAGATCCAGACAAATACAGAGAATTATTAGAGGTACTTTTAATATGTAAATGTAACTAACCAAGAATTGTTGTTGGGCTGTTGTTTCCATCAGCACAAACCAACATGGTGAGGATTGATGGGAACAGTTGGTGGACTTTCTGCTTCCTGGCCTTGGTCTATCCCTAAACAATCCATCAGCTTCTCTCTTTGTACAGAATGCCCACCAAAGTTGGTTTAGGACTGCAGTGAGTGGGGAAGTTTCTCTCTCCCCCCCGCCCCCTCCACAGAGGTAGTGCTGATCTAGCCCAGTTGGAGACGCATGTTACTTTTTGTCATGATAAATGGATGCCCTTGTTTCACAGAGGCCATCTTGAGAAAGAAAAAGAAATGGCAGTGGTGGTTCTCCGTACCACAGAGATTGGAAACCTTTGGCCCTGTAGACATTTTGGACAAACGTTTCCCCAGTCTTGCTATAGTATGTGTATGGCTGATTTGCTGTATGTAATAGTTCTAAGATTAGGGATCAGATGGGGCCCTTCAGATGTCATTGAGTTGTATCCTTCCAGCACCCTTCACTATTGGCTAGCTGGGCTAGAGCCAAGGTTCTTGCTAAGCTGGGCGAGCGCACAACTCTGCTTTCCTCTGTGCAGCTGTCTTCCTCCTCCACACAGCAATCACATTAGATTGCAACAGAACCCAGCGCTGGTGGGGGGGCAGAGTTGGGCATGCACGCTGGGGTGAAGCCACGAGGGGGGGTGGAGCCCCGCCCAGCAGGGCTGAAAATTAGAGGGTATGTTGGCTGAGAGTTGTGGTCTAATAGCATCTGGAAGGCTACTTTTGCTCTTTTAGAAGCTCTTTGAAGACTTTGTGAGCTAGTTTATGCATCGTGCAAAAGACCTCAGTTTGCACTCTTGCCTGTTTCCAGTCTGGAACAGAGGCTTCATTCCTGTCTTGTAATAAATAATGTGTGTTTTGGCATCTCAGATGGCTTGCATATAAAACATACAGATACTGTTCTTTGTGTTTTTTAAACAAGACTATAAAGAAATTCCGAGACGAAGAGCTAGAGCATCATGACATTGGGCTTGACCACGACGCAGAGCTGGTAAGTGTGAAGCGGTCACTTTTAATGCAATAGCATATCCAAACACTTCAACTGCTATGACTCCATCCTTCATAATTCAGAGGTTTGTAAGTTTAATGGTATACTAGGAATTCACTCCTATAGTTCAAGGCGGGGGGCGTCTGTGTGTGACTCACGGTCTCTACTAGAGGATTCTAGGAACATCACCAAACCTCAAGACTCCATAAGGTAGAACCATGACATTTATTTGGTATTGGACTGCTATAACTGTGTAGTTTAGATTTATTCCTAATTATAAGGGTCAGCATTAACACCTAGCATCCTTGAGCAGCTTAATGGTCTCTTTACAAGGCCCACCATTGATGATTGGTCTCATTCCCTTGTAGCTGGCTGGGTGTGAGAACTCCCTGTACTCATAAACCCCTCTAATATATGGCTGTTCCAGGAAATAATGGGAAATTTAAATACTGGGCCCATCATTTCAACATTTTAGTGTCTTCAAGCACTGCTGCATTTGTAGAACTCCTGGTCAGTCACAGTATGTTGGGTTTTCTGAACTGGTTGCTCAAAAGCAGTCAAAAAATATGTTCAACTCTAAAAGCCGGCTGATAAAATGAATACTCGAGGAGGATAAACACCAGGAGTAGATTTTGTGTAAAATGCCTGCAAGTTGTATTACTAGATTAAAAACAAAATTTTAGTCCACGCCTGATGGTCAGGTATATGTCAGGTGTGTCACTAATCTGAGCCTGACTCTTTAATTGGTGGAAATTGAGATTCTAGCCAAACAAACAAAAATCACAGAAACTGGAAACAATTGTTGGATACTACTTCCAGACACCCTGGTCTTTTTACAAGGCCCACCATTGATGATTGGTCTCATTCCCTTGTAGCTGGCTGGGTGTGAGAACTCCCTGTACTCATAAACCCCTCTAATATATGGCTGTTCCAGGAAATAATGGGAAATTTAAATACTGGGCCCATCATTTCAACATTTTAGTGTCTTCAAGCACTGCTGCATTTGTAGAACTCCTGGTCAGTCACAGTATGTTGGGTTTTCTGAACTGATTGCTCAAAAGCAGCCAAAAAAATATATGTTCCACTCTAAAAGCAGGCTGATAAACTGAATACTCAAGGAGGATAAACACCAGAAGTAGATTTTGTGTGAAATGCCTGCAAGTTGTATTATTAGATTAAAAACAAAATTTTAGTCCATACCTGATCGTCAGGTATATGTCAGGTGTGTCACTAATCTGAGCCTGACTCTGTAATTGGTGGAATTTGAGATTCTAGCCAAACAAACAAAAATCACAGAAACTGGAAACAATTGTTGGATACTACTTCCAGACACCCCTAGCAAAATGACAGAGCACATGTTCAGTGTGCAGAAGGTTCCAGAATCTCTAGTTAACATCTGGGAAAAACTCCTTCTCACGAACTTGGAGAATTGTAGCTAGGTGGGAACTGTGACTTAACTAACTATGCTTCTGCATGATTTATCATATCAAAAATGGGAAACATGTGGCCACCAGATATTCTCAGATTGCAGTGCTTCCCATCCTTCATTGGTGGTTGTGTATGTCCAACATATGGATTTCCAACCCTGCTCCAGATATGTTTGCATTCCCTTGCCCATCAGCCTGAGTCAAAATACCCAGTAGCAAGAGCGGATGGGAATTGAATCCCAGCAACCACTTTCATATAAGCTTCTTTGCATCCCAGCTTTATTCTTTATTCTTTGAATTACTGTAATCTAATTAAAGTAAAATATAAAATGTACTAAATTTCCTTCCTTCCCTTCTTTTCTTTTTAAAGGCTCCAGCATATTTGTTTTTGAAAAATGGTATACAAATTGGATGTAAAGCTGCAATATTTTTATCAGAAAGAATATAGTGAACTTGTTTTCTGGCAATTGTACAATAACAGTTGTAAATTAAAATATTATGGGTGCTGGTTGTAAATTAAGATGATGATGCCTTATCCAAATAATGTAAAGCTAAATTCATACAGCATTGTGTCTTCCATTTCTGTGTCTACAAGTTTGGTTATCTTCATGTCCTCGTTACAACAAGGAAATCTTATACTGATGAGGTGGTAAGCTTTTTTTTCATAAATAATGCTGTGTTACCAACACCATTCTAATATTTATTTTGTCTAAAACAACGGCAAAAATAGGACAACATACACTGCATACATCTTGAACTGTGGTTTTTTCCCCCATGGTTGGGAAATCTTTGACCTTCTACATCATTTTGTACTACAGCTTCCAAAATCTCTTGCCTTTGAGATTTAAAAGAGCCTAAAGTTTCTCATTCCTGACTCAGGTTGTCAGAATTTAATAGAGAAAATAAACAATATATTATACCAGTAGTTGGATGTGGTGGAATTATCTTGTGTGTTGATCGTAAATGGAAGTGAACCTGGAAGTAAAATTTCCACTCATAATTAGTTGTATACATGGTTCACCAGATCAGTTTGGAGGCCAGTTCAGGGCTTCAGAATGTATCTCATTTTGTTCCAAAGCAATTTGCGTTTTATCCAACTCAGTTTGTGCTCCAGATCGAAATCTATTTGCAAAGTTAGATCACTGGTGGGCCAAAATGGCTAAACTTGTTTTTATACTAATATATTCTCTCTATAGATGAAATCTGGAAATGTGATAGATCCTAAAGTGTGGAGTAAACCAGACAAATTTCAGACAGGGGCTTGTGTGCAAAATTATTTTGAACTTTGATTTAAAAAACTAGGCTATGCTAGTATGCTAAGGCAAGAGGAGAAGGGGACAACAGAGGACAAGATGGATGGACGGTGTCATCGAAGCGACCAACATGAATTTGACCCAACTCCAGGAGACAGTGTAAGACAGGCGGGCCTGGCATGCTCTGGTCCATGGGGTCATGGAGAGTCGGACATAACTTAACGACTAAACAACAACAACAATGTGTGCTACCTGCTATGAAGAGCTCTGTACATGGTTGTGAGTATAACTTAGAGACTTAGTTTTCATTGTTTTTTGTGGGAACAGCTTCATCATGCCTTGAGCTCTGGAAGTTCTGCTTATGCTACCTGATGATGATTTTTATAATCACTGCTGGAATTATTGGAACTTTTTGCTACACTATGCTACTGAGAATGGCCTCGTTCAAGTAACCTCTCTAATCAACTCCAGGACAAATATAAGTTTCCTTCCTGTGTCCCTTGTCTCCCCTGAGTAAATAGTCCCAAATGTGTGTTTTCCCATTGAGGCATGAAGCCATGGAAAGGCCATGATTCAGTATGTTTCATTAGCTCAAGTAACTTTAGAGTTTGGTGATTTTAAGTGGCCTAAGCCTATTCTTGTTCATGACAACCAGAAAAGGGGCAACAGTGATACTGGGAAATGATTTGATCTTTAGAAAATATCTGACAAGTAAGGAGACAGTGTGGGAAGTGGAAAACTAGAAATCAGAGCCATGTTGAGAGAAAGGTAGAGGTAGAAACTAAAAGGTTGTTCCAGGCACAGAGCACATTCCTGGGGAGGGAGGAATAGATGTATAGCCTTTGGAGAATAAACTGAATTTGTCATAAACTTCACTATACTTCTGGGAATTTAAACAAGCCAAGAGGGAGGACCTTTTGAATCAATGGCAGAATCCCTCTGGTTTTTCAAAGGGACAAACTATGAAATTTTACTGGGAAGATGATGTGTTGCATAGGATCATGAAGTTGTAAGGGGCCAATAAAGCCATCAAGTCCTATTCCTTGCTCAGGGCAGGAATACAAGTCAAAGGATATCTGCCAGGTGGGTCTCTAAATTTCTCTCAAATGCCTCCAATGGTGGAGCACTCACCACCTCTCAAGGTTCCAATGTTGTACTGCTCTAACAGTTAGGAAGTTTTTTTCCTGATATTCAATTGAAATCTGATTTCCTGTAACTTGAGCCCATTGTCGTGTGTGCTGAACTATGGGATGATTGAGGACAGATCTTGCCCCTCCTCTGGATGACAGCCTTTCAACTCTTTGACAAGTGCTATCGTATCTCCCCTCAGTCTTCTTTTCTCAAAGCTAAATATGCCTAGTTCTTTCAGTCTTCGTTTACATCCCTCTGATCATACTTGTAGTTGTGGTTTTAGAATTTCCTTTTCTAGAAGCCCCCATCCTTCTTGGACTCCTTTTCTTGTTAGGATTTCCTACCATGGAACCATGCTCATCTTTGTTTTGAGAGTATAAAAACTGGCTTTTAATTTTTTAAAAATGAATATTAAAAAAAAGTAACAGTAAAAAAAACCTAACAAAGTACATGCTCTTACACAATGCAAGTTAATCTTCCCCCCTGTTCCAGCTTCACCCTCAGGACTAGGTAACTAAAGGTATCATTTTAAAACTTTTCACCCCATTCCACTCCACAAATACAATAAAACTGGCTTTTTAAAAATCCAGAAAGATTGAGGTCCAAGCTGAGTATAAAGTTGAACAACGCAGGTTTATTGATTACTGTTCGCTTAAACAGATTCTTCACAGACTTTAAAGTATTCATTTGATTATTAATAACTTGTTTCACTCTTAACTCTTTTAGCTCTCTATAAGTTCCACACTCTTAACTCCTAACTCTGCTACCCTCTCTAACTACCACAGACCTACTTCAGACTCTCATCTATGACTCTCAGTCCCTTCTCATGCCAGACTCTCCTCTCTGACTTAAACTGACCAACTTTTTTCTCTCTGATTCACCCCTCCCTTCTTGTTTCTCTGGCTCCACCTCCCAACAGTTCCCATTGGTGCAGGCCAATACCATTATATTTATAGGAAGACACGGTGTTCGCTACATACCTCCCCCCTTAATGAGGGGAAACCCAGCAGTTTGTCCTCATAAACAAACAGCTAAGTACATGCAAATATAGCAATAACTTACCAATATTTATACATACCTTATAATACAGTTTTCCATCCATTACTAGGTTTACTAGTTCAAACTTACCACTTTATAAACATTTAACACAATATAATTATAAACATTTGCACTTAACATTAATACCAATTATATTGCATCACCTTTTTTTATTTCCCATCACTATACACATCTCAGTTCATAAACATCCAAACAAACAGCACTTTAATCATATTTCATAACTATTACCTAAACAGAACATTTGACGTATTACAAACTTTTTTATCATCCCATTAGTCATTTGGCCTTCAGGACAAAGTGTCCGCAACCACATTCAGGGACCCTTTGATGCTTCTGATTTCAAAATCAAAGCCCTGTAAAATCAGGGCCCATCTAGTCAATTTATTGTTGTTAGTTTGCATAGTCCTCATCCATTTTAATGGGGAATAAAGTGCAGAGAATGAATGTCCTTCCCCATATGTAAAATGCAGAGAATGAATGTCCTTCCCCATATGTAGGGCTGTAGTTTCTGTGGTGTCCAAACGATGGCTAAACATTCCCTCTTGATGGTCGATAAACGTCTTTCGCTAGGTTGGAGCTTTTTGCTCACATACGTTACCTCAGATAAAGCCCCGCTGTCATCTGATTGGCACAGGCACATACGTTACCTCATGTAAAGCCCCGCTGTCATCTGATTGGCACAGTACAGCTCCAAGTCTTGACACTGGATGCATCTGTGTAGATGGTGAATTCCTTGTTGAAGTCTGGCGCAACAAGAACAGGCTTCAAGGTCAGCGCTGTCTTAAGATGATCAAAGGCTTCCTGGCACTCCATGCGATGTTCTCCACTTGCTTCTTTTTGATCAAGTTGGACAATGACGCAGCTATTTCACTGAAATTGGGTACGAATCGCCTATACTATCTGGCCAGTCCAAGGAAAGCTTTGATTTTCTTTTTGGAGTTTGGGATGGGCCACCTATCAATAGCCTCTATCTTTCCATCTAGGGGCTTGATCGTTCCTCCTCCCACTAAATGTCCTACGTACTTTATTTCAGAGTTACCAGTTTGACATTTAGCTGCCCTTATTGTCAAACCGGCACTCAGTAGCCATTGCAACACGATCTCTAGGTGGGATTTACGTTCCTCCCAGGTCTGGCTAAAAATCCCTATGTCATCCATGTAGGCCATAGTGAACTCTCTCAGGCCATACAGGGTTTTGTCCACCAGCCTCTGAAATGTGGCCGGTGCATTCTTTAATCCAAAACTCATGATTCAGAATTCATACAGCCCCAAGAGACTGCAGGAAGCGGTTTTCTCCTGATCCTTATGATCCATAGGGAGCCTGCCAAAATCCCTTCATTAAATTTAAACTGGAAATGAAAGGACATCTACCTATGGTTTCAGTCAGGTCATCCAAGTATGGCATAGGATAGGCAACAGCCTTGGTGACATGGTTTAATTTCCTGTAGTCCACACAGAACCTGATACTCCCATCGGGCTTATCTACCAGGACTATAGGTGCAGTCCAAGGGCTCATGGATGAGGTGATTATATCGGCTTTCAGCATCTCATTGAGTTCTGTGTGGATTTTATCAACATAGGGACCAGTTATTCGAAAAGGGGTAACTGCTATAGGCTGGGCATCCCCAGTACCTATTTTGTGCACAAACCCTTTTGCCACTCCTGGTTTGTGCGAAAACACAGCTTGGTATTTTTGCAAAACAGTGGAGATTTCCTCTATTTGGTCTTGGGTAAGAGCAGGGTTAAGAACCACATCCTTGGGGTTATTTTTTAGACTCCCCTCTACCTTCCCAGCATATTAATTTTTGTTTTTCTGACTCCCCTATGCCTTCCCAGCATATTAATTTTTGTATTTCTTCTAAGTCTTCCTTCACAGAAAATAAAACTCTGTTTTCCTTTCTGTAATATGGCTTTATCATATTTACATGGACTACTCTATGATTCTCCTCTCCCCTCTGGAGAATATAATTAACTGAATTCATTTTGGAGACCACGGTGTATGGTCCTTCCCAAGCCAACTGAAGATGCCTTCCCAGCATATTAATTTTTGTATTTCTTCTAAGTCTTCCTTCACAGAAAATAAAACTCTGTTTTCCTTTCTGTAATATGGCTTTATCATATTTACATGGACTACTCTATGATTCTCCTCTCCCCTCTGGAGAATATAATTAACTGAATTCATTTTGGAGACCACGGTGTATGGTCCTTCCCAAGCCAACTGAAGTTTATTCCCTTTTAGGGGTCTTAACATTAGAACTTCCTCTCCAGGATTGAACATCCTCTTTCTAGCATTTTGGTTATACCAAGTTTTCTGTTTATTTTGGGCATCCCTCAAATTCTCCCCTGCTATTTCTAGAGATCTTTGTAATGTATTCATCAGATGGTCTAAGTATTCAACTACAGAATCAGGGTCCATTCCTTTATAATCCTCCCAGTTCTGTTGTAGCAGGTCTAGGGGCCCACGCACTTTCCTGCCAAATAAC